TAGTATAGATCTCTCTATTAAGGGTTCGCGCTATAAGATAGAGGCGTACTGCCTAGCGATAGTACTCCTCGTCGCCCTCCGCGAGGGCGCGCGCGTCCTCTATAGAGCTTGCCGGGTAACTAGCCGTAATCTCTCTCCAGATCTTATTATAGGCATCCTTCTAGCGTTAGACAGCGATTACCTTGTTTAAGAGTCTTAGTACGGTCTGTATACAAACTCGTTAGTAAGGCGAACCCCTAGCGAGGCGGACGGATACTTACCCTTCCTATACTATTATATCCTACCTTGTTATTGTTCGCGTAGCTATCGTATATACGGTATGCCGGCGTATTATACACTCGCCCTATAGCAATCGACTTTACGTACCGCAGGTATATAGCTACGTACCCGGTTTCGTCTTAGTCGGCGTCCGACTAGCTATAGTCCTAGTTATTAAGTACTACATCCTTTATATACGCGGCGGAGAAAGGAATCGTTACGTACCCCCGGGTAAACGCTATAATAGTCGGAGGGGCCTAATAAAGCGGCGGAGCCGGCGAGGGAAACTAAGGGACGAGGCGGGGCTACAAAGAGTAAACGAAGAACGAGAAGTAGAAGTATAGCTGTCTGGATACGGTAGTAGTAATAGAGCTACAGGCGGGTAAGGATATTAGTACGTAGTAGGTTGTTAATAGGAAAGGAATAAGAGGATCGTAGAACGCGCAACGAACCTATTGAAATATTCTATCTCTATAGCGACACTACCGCGCACTCCCGACTACTACCTACGGAATTCGCGACGCGACTATAAGCAAATATTCTTAGCGACGCTTTACGACAGTGCGAACATAAGAGGGAATTTGTATACAATGTTTACTAATACTAAGGTATAGACATTCCGTAGGTATACGCTAGCTCTATACGGTACCTAGATAAGAGCAGACGTCTACCCCCGTTCGTAGGGCGAATACGTAGGGGACTAATAACCTGTCGCTACTAGGGATATTAGCCCTAAGAGGGGGCGTCTGTAATACGCTAGGGCAGAGAAGCCCTAGCGAACCCCCGGCGAGGCAGGCGGGGCGTACCGCGCGGGACGGGAAGCCCTCGCGGACCCCCGGCGATCCGGTATAGAAGGGATGCCCTACCGATCGGAGACGTTCTGAATTAAGAGGGTTCCTAAGGGAACCGGTTATCGGCTGCTGCCTAAGAGGAGGCGGTACCGGTAGCGAGGAGTAGACAATAGAATAGCTTGTATATATAGCGAGGGCCCTCCTCTAGGAAGGAAGGGCAGAGTTATTATACCTTAGTTAGCAAGCCGTATATTGTTTATACCTTTTATACCTTAGACCTCTATTACGTATACCCTTACGCTTACAGAACCATTACACTAGGAGGTATTTGTAAAGCCTATAATACTAGTACACTACGATAGGAACCGCCGTCTATATATCCTACCGGACGTATCGAAAGCAAGGGGGTTCGGAGTAGTAGTATACTACCTTAAGGGCAACCTAGCGATAACTAGTATTAACTACAATACCTCTCTGGAATATCGTAGAGCTAATCCTATTTCTCTTAAAGATACTAATACCGACTAAGCAGCGGTACTAGCCTATAGAGCTAGAGGTCGCCTACGTCGTATAGACGATAAAGATAGTCCGCTAGATAATCGAGATATCCGCGTACGAGGTTATAGTAATAACGGACTACGCGAGTATAGTAGGGATTATAAGGCAGACGGTACTAACGTCTAGTACTACCGACAAGCTTAATATTCGACTTACGAGAGCCTTATAGTATATGTCCTAGTTTAAGAACCTTAAGATCTACTACGTACTAGGACGCGAGTATACGGTTCCGGACGCCCTATTAAGGTTGCTAGTATATAGGGAGTACGAGAAGGCCTAGGACGAGGACGTACTCGACGACTTAGTTATAGCTTTCCTCCTAGACATAGTACCGGCCTCGTATAGTATAACGACGACCCTTAATATTGCCGCCGATTTCCGGAAGGTATTATAGTACGGGTACGGAACGGACTAGTTTATAGTAGACGCCGGCGAGATCGCTCGTAACTAACCGGAGGTAGAGTCCTTCTACTAGAAGGACGGGCTTCTCTAGTATAAGATACGGTTGTATATCCCCGATAGCCTTAAGGGAGACGTCTTTAATATAGCCTACGATAGCTAATTCTATATAGGGCCGGGCCGGCTATATATACGGATCCGGGAACAATACTATATTAGGTACCTAGACAAGAAGCTTAGAACGTACGTACAATACTACGAAGATTGTTAACGTACCTAGACTAAGAGGCACTTACCCTACGGGTCGCTATAACTAATTAAGATAGAGGTAATACCTTTCTATACGGTAACGATAGACTTTATCGTCGGCTTGCTAAACGACAACGGATATAACGCCCTACTTACCGTAACGTACAAGTTTAGTAAGCGAGTACTACTAATCGAGGGAAGCTCGATATTTATAGCTAAGGTATAGGGCTATCGACTACTAGACGCGTTACTACAAGCGGATTAGGGATTGCCGATAGTAGTAATTACCGATAGAGATCCGAAGTTTATATCCGAGATATAGAGGGCTATCTTTAAGAGGCTCTAGGTTATAATACTTAGATCTACGAGCTACTACCTATAGACCGACAGGCAATCGGAATATACTAACTAGATAGTTAAAATCGCCCTACGATACTAGATAGCTAAGTACCCGGACCGGGTACTAGAATAGTAGTATACGTTGCCTTAATTATAATTTATACTAAATAACTCCGAGAATACTAGTACTAGGATCGTACTGAATATACTACTATATAGATTCAAGCTATACGAAGCGCCTATCTCCGTTTAGACCTTTCTCTAGCTACGTAATTACGAAGCCGTTAGTAAGACAGTTACGTATACGCCTAATTAGAGGTAGCGAAGCGCTAGATATTAAGCCGCTAGGAGGTCTATTCGCGGACAGAGAGGTACTTAAGAACGAGGCGGAAGACGTAATAGCCTTTGCGAACGTTAAGATAAAGAAGCGTTACGATATAGTATACAAGCTTTAGGAACCTAAGTAAGGAGACGTAGTAATACTCAATCTAAAAAATTACTACGTACCGGGTATAACGAACCGAAAGCTCTCGGATAGGAGAGTTAGACTATTTATAATCGAAGACATATATAGAAAGCAAGTATACAAACTAGCCCTTCCAAAGCACTAGAAGATCTACCTAGTAATCTCGATAGCAGACCTAGAACCCTTGCCTAAGTTAGAGGACCTTTACGTAGCTAGCAGGACGCGAGCAACGAGAAGGGTACGGCCGTAGAACTAAGCGGACGTAGCGGAGCCTATCCTAGAGACACTCCTTAATAAGCGGGTACGGCTAGTAGGCCGTAATAGGAAGGAGTTTACCGAATACCTCGTCCGATAGATAGGGAAGGACTCTTCTTACGACTCGTAGGTACGAGAAGGGAACCTATTAGTTACCTTAGTACGGCAGTACCGGCGTTAATATAAGACGAGGAAGAGTATTATATTACTAGCGAACATCTTAGTACTAGCGGATATCTTAGTATAGCTATCGATTCAAACCTTATATAGCAGATTTATAAACCTTACTTCGATAGGCTACGCGGTATATACGATTACTACTTAACAATATATTCCTTTCCTATACTTCCTCTCTCGAATATTAACATTACGTTAAGGTTATATTATTACTCTCTAATTCTACCTATTCAAACATTAATATAGTAAGAAAGCTTAAGGTACCCGCTAGCTACACCCCGCTCTAGATTCAAATACGACGTCTAGACTTGTTATAGGCATCGCCTGTCGACGAGTACGGTACGCCGGTAAACCTAGTAAAGGCTAATAAAGACCTATATAAGGCGGTCAATCGATAGCGCCGTATTATCCTCTCTTAGGTATAGACGAATTACGTCGTAATTATATCGGGAACGGAGTTTAACGGTATAGAGCTTAGAGTTAAACGCCTACTAGGTAATAAAGATTTACTCTTAGTTCTAGACGTACAACTCGCGCTAGGGCGTAAAATGTAGGGGGCGCTAGGAATTTAGCGTAAGGTAAAGCGATCTATACTAGAAGAGACGATTACCGAAGCAAACGTTAGAATATATAGTACGATACTTAACGCAATCTATAGCGAGTATTATACTCTAGACAAGTCTAAGGTACTCGGCGAGAACGCCGTAGTACGCCTAGGAAACCTCGTTATTATACTAAAGAAGATCCTAACTCTAACTACGTCGGTACGCGCCGCGTACTACTAAGCCGCCCTAAAGGTCGCCGAAGCTTAGGCAACAGAGGAGGACGCAGTTCGCTAAGGATACGCTAGGGCTAGATTAGCGATCGGCCTACTAAAGTAAGCGAACTACAATAACGGAAACCTATCCCCGAAGTAGAAGTAGAAGTAGAAGGTACTTACCCTAGACGGTAAGGGACTCGCCTAGGACGCGAAGGGAACGGGTACGGCCTAGCAGGATACCTTTATTAAGATAGAGGAAGACGCTAAGGGTAGCGACATTTTTTGAAAAAGCGGGTATTTGTTACGAAAAGCCTTCTAGCAATACGTACCTTTGTCCTGTAACTAGTACGTAACTAGTATATAACTAGTACGTAACCTACCCCTCGGTACGTACGGAAGGGACATGTATAATAGTTTCTATCTTAAGTTAGGCAGAAAATCATTATCTTGTCAACACTATAACAGGTAGACACCTCGAGCTTACTGTACCTACATGAGCTACAATGCTACACTACCTACTACCACATACCCGACATGCACCTACTATCTGTACCTCCTACGTCTATTTCGAGCACTCACCACATCTGACAGACGGGAGCCTTTGGCCAACACGAACCAATAGGATGCACTGCCACTCGCCTTCACACACTACCGTTTAAGCAACCAGCACACGCTACCATTTAAGCAACCAGCCAGGCAATAGGCAATCCATACGGACGAAGCGAAGCGTAGCGTAAATCGACTATGTACATTTAGTGCCTCCGAGGAGCCACTGCACTTCAATCTCTTCATTGTAAAAATTCTGGTCAGCGAAAACATTCGCCGTTGCTCATGGGCGCTGTCCTTCATTGCACCCTCCCTTTTGCATGACCCAAATTCGTGCCCTACCATGCGGTTCCCGTCGCTGTTGGGGAGAACCACCACCTATCAAAAGCTTGAGCGTCTACATCTGCCGCACTTCTCTCCCGCCTCACTTTAAGAAATTCGGCCGGCTTCATGCTCCAGCGCCTTGTCGTCGCGCATTTCGCTGCCGTGCGTACTCGTCATGTGCGCAGGTTCAGCTGTCTGATGCAGTTGTCCACGATCCATCGATGGTCTGATGGCTTCGAACGACTTGCCCCGTATTGGTAAATTCTCATCATTGACCATCTGAAGGTCTTGCCTGCTCTTATTGCGTTCATGGCTTCGCTCTGGTGTCCTTGATCGCTTTTCCACATCTTTGTCCTTGCGCTCCTGGATTTTGTTACGCAGCCACGACATTGGGCCTTTTCTCTCGCGTTCCGAATCGGAGAATACGGCATCAGATGTGGCGGCTGGCAGGACCTGTGGTGTCAGCGTTGACGGACGATCGTCCGATGCGAAATCTGTAGCCATTGCCGCCATAGTGTGGGGTTCTTGCAGACTCTTCCGTGGCTGCGAGCCGCCGCTACCAATTGTAGATCGAGACGTGGCCTGCTCTCTGGGAGACATCGTACCCAGAGGGTTGCTGTTGACAGGTGTGGAAGGCTGCTCCAGCCTGTTCGTGCTTCGCGAAAAACGCCAGCGATTTCGTTTCCTCTTCTCTGGCTCATCGGCCGATGGCATATCATCGCCCACCAGGTCGGCATCCGACTGGTCAGTGTGCGAGTGGAAAGAGTTGGAGGGTGAGAGCGTTGGTCTCAAGGTTGAGTCCGTATGATTTCGTTGCGGGGTCGCGTGGAGTGGTGTATGTTGCGCCCCTGTATACCCAGTATACACAGAAGACTCAGTTGACGCGTCTGTGGGGGCGACGAGGCCGGGGTCCACCATGGGGTGTACAGCATACGGTAGCCTTGGCGACGTCGGTACCTCGTCCCGGGGGTCGTCATGTAGCGAGTGGCTAGAGGAGTGCGCACTCGAGAGCGCAGATCCTGGGTTACGTTTCTTTTGGAGCTTGTTGGGCTTGCGGCTCTCTCCTTCGCTTCCAGGGGACTGCTTCAGTATATCCAGAAACTTGCGACCCGAGGCATGTGCTGTCGTTGGCGTGTGGGAGACGGGCCTTTCTGTAGACCTGTCATTGTTGCTGACTGGCGCGAGTAGGGGAACGGTATCTCTTCGAGCCGACGAGAAGTCATTGGAGCTATCCCCGCCAATCGCAAGAGGTGTTGTGGTCTCGCTAGATGAGGCTGAAGTCACATCTGGTGGAGCTGGAAACACAGACCGTGGCGCTGCAGTAGCAATGGAAGTGCTTGGTACTGAGCTATGGCGCGCAGAAGCCGATTCCTGTTCCGCGTGAGAATATGTTTGGGGTGCTGCCGCGGTGCTGGCCGAGCCTCTGGGGGTAGACGGATCGGAAGAAGTCTTTTCGCGCGGAAATCGGGGGGATGATGCAGGACCGCCTCCTCGTCGTGAGGGCACGGTGTTGCTCCGATTGACACTTCCAGTGGGAGTGCCAGGCGCGGGAGAGCTTACAGCTGGACCACTCTCAGACCCCTTGCTATGCTTGCTAGACACAGAGACGTTACGACGAATGCTCCCCCATTTCCGCACGCTCTCAGCTGCCACACTGGAGCTAGAGCTCGATCGGCCGATGATAGTTTTGGATCGGCCTGGGGTCGTGGGAGTCGTTGGTGGTTTCGACTGGACTCCACTCTGCACATCTCGCACGGTATCTGGATCTGCAGCCGTTCCTTGCATGCCAATGAGAAAGCTATCTTGATTCTCAATCAAGAATATCAGCACATCCTGGCTCAATCGATATTCCAGTGGAGCCATATCATGCTGTGGGTGGCTCAAAATGCCAGGCTGAAAAATGGCCGCCAAATTGGGGGTGGTCATTTTATTCAAATCAGACTTGCTGGCGAATACGGCGAGCAGGTCAAGTATGTATAGCAATAGCTGGCGGTTCAGTGGCGGGAGTTCCGTGATGAGAGCCTGATATGCCCGGATAGCGGCCTCGTGATCAAAGTCACCTTGACTCGGACTCTGCGACTCGATAGCGCCCACAGCTTGCGCTTGATGGTTTCGCAAAGGATCACGAAATCGGTGATAGAATTCGAGCGGAATGATCGGCTCTGGTAGCTGGTTGAAATAGCGCCTCAGAATATTGGCTGCATCATGCACGGTAAAGCCAGTCCAGTCCAGGCCTTTGCCGTATCGATCTGGGCTGTCGAAGGATACTTTGAGCTCTTTGATGCGTTTCTCGCTGCCTGCCAGACGGAATATGCCCTCCACGTCGGTCGCTGCTCGAGGTATTAGCAGGGTCCACGTGATGATCAAAGCCACTGCTACCTTTCTCCTTGAGGAACACGCCACATTTCGCTACCACAATAGGCACATAGCCATAAATGTAGCTCTGTCCTTCATCGTTGAATAAGCTAATAGCGACATTGGCATATCGAATGCTCTGCTGCAGGGGCACCCCAAAGATGCCCTGTGGAGATGCTAGACGGCCGTGTCAGACTCGTGTTACAGCAGACTTGTGTAAGGGGGGATGATTCGACGCGGCCTATTGGCAAGGACACAAAGGCTGCGTGAAGAGGCACACAGCCCGTGAACTGGAGCGAGTCGCATGCAGCCGCTCCTTTTGGCGCATCCGTGACTACAACCCGCAATGCGTTGAAGGGTGCGTACCTTGCTCCTGTGGTTTCTTGTCGCTCCGCTTGAAGTTCTTCCACCAGCTGGCCAAGTCCTTCTTGTCCTTGATCGACTCGGTCAGCACCGCTTGCGACGCCGTTCGAGGACCGCCTGCACCAGCAGCAGCCGTAGAGGGCCCGCTCGTGTTCATGCCTGGCGAAGGTCTGGGCGGGAGTGCGACGCCGGCCTACTGCATGCGCGGCGACCGCGGCGAGGACGGGGTGGAGGGTGGGCGGATCTGCGGTTGTTTGGTGCTGCTGTGGCTCCTGCTGCTGCCGCCGATGCTGCTGCTGCTGCTGCTGCCGCCGATGTTGTTGCTGCCGCTGCCGTCGCCGTCGTAGTGTGGTGGGAGAACGGACGGGGACGGGGCGTTGGAGGGCGACTGGGGCGGTGCGTGCAAGTAAGTGCAACGCGATGTGGTGCGGTGCGGTGCGATGCGGTTGAGTCGTAGTAATAAGGTAAGGCAGAACAGCAGGCGAGGAGGACAGGGCTTGTTGCGTTAAAACCTACCTACCTTGGGAACCATCCTTATAAACCAAAAATAGAGTGCAGTTCACACCTCCGCGTTTGATCCACCACCACCACCAGCTCACTCCTCCTTCGCACATCAACCGAAAGCTACCAACCCCACAACCGAATCTACCGCACAACATGGAAGGGTGTGTACCGAGAGCCGCTTTTGTCCACCTCATGCACGACCAACACGCGCTGACCCCGGCATAGTCTCAACGCAACAGAGCAGCGCGAGCTGCAAGGCCGCCTGGAAAAAAAGCAGATGAAGGACTTCATGAACGTGCGTGGCGAGCCATGTCCAGCGCATCCACGCGAGGCGCGCATACCTCCAGCGAGCTGACCTTCAGCTCAGATGTACTCCAACCTCGTTCAGCGGTGCTTCACCGACTGCGTCACCGACTTCACCTCGAAGAGCTTGTCCGGCAAGGAGGAGGGCTGCGTGATGCGATGTGTCGACAAGTCCCTCAAGAGTGCAGAGCGCTTGGGCGAGCGCTTCCAAGAGCAGAATGCTTCAATGGCACAGCAGGGCGGCATGGGCATAGGACGATAAAGAACACAGAGTTCTCAGCTTTCCACCAATGTACGATCACGATGCTGCGAGAGGTGGAACGGGCACAGCGCTTGCATTGCACGGCGTGTGTTGAAACTTGCCAGATCAGCGCCTCAGCTTCTCAGCTCTACTCAGGCCCACTCATGCTACGATGGTGCCCATAGTGACCAACAGTTGTCACGAACAGGCGATACATGCCCACGCGAATAGCGTGGGTCGCTGGAGTTCTTTACCACAGGCATCAGATCCTATGAAGCAGTCTCTCAGTGCTTTGATGTCCTTCTCTTTGCTCTCTCAATCCTTTGCCAACAGTCCACGCAGACTAAGGTCGTAGACCACATCCTCCACTTCTTTCACCTTGTACTTGATTCCGTCGCTCCGCTTCCGTAAGCTGTCGTTCTTGAGGTTGAGAATCTGGAAGCCGGCGTGAACGTCTTTGATGAACTGGCTGATCTGCAATGGGCGGCGATAGTCTCCCAGTGTGACAGAGTTGCGTGCAAGCCGAGAGAGCTCTTCGACGAGCGAGATTAAAGCCAACAAATACTCCTCGATGGTGAGATGGAAACAATCTCGGTCTTTGACGTTGACCGGCACATTCATTATTTGCCCGACTTCCTCGATCGTCAAGAGTTGGCCGGTCGTAGTCTTGCCAAAGCCACCATGGAAGCCACAAAGCAAGATGTTGAAAGTCTGCGATTGATGAGAATCTGTCTTACGATATGGACAAAGGGACGTACCGAGATTTCAATCTGCCGTTGCCACGCATAATTGAATCGGTAGTATGGATGATTCGATGCGACCTGTGCCAACTGCTGAATGGTAGCCACCGCTTCCTTGATCTTCGACTCTGCGGCATGCACTACGACAGGCACTGGAAATTTTTAGCAAGGTCAACGACGGGTGATGAACGCGCGACAACTCACAGTCCGGTGCTGCGGTGGAGTGCGCCCTTGAGAGAATCGATTGCGTGGTACGGTCTTCATAGGTAGTGCGAGAGTCAGGATCAGCAAGTGGCAGCAGTTGGACTATGACATGATACCTTGTTTCTCAAGCGTCTGGACAATGTCGCGAAGTTGCTGTTCAGATCATAGATACCTTAGATCAGCGACTACAGAATCCAGAATTGTCGATGTCTCCAATGCTTACGTCCTTGACCACAGAGTCCTCGTCGATCTTTCGCTGGAGATCTTCGAAGATGCCAGGCTGGACGGGACCTCCCGTGTCTTGCGTCGCCATTTTCGAATTCTTGGACCGGAACTGGCCGGTGTTGATCGATGAGGTGTGATGTTGATGTGTCGTGAATGCGAGTGGTCAAGGGAAATCAAGTAGGTACCTGATCAAGCGACGATAATTATTATATTGATGACCTAAGCCTTAAGGTTTCGGATTGAGATGGATGCGTTTTTGGTAAATATTTCTGCCGGCAGGGATCATCCTTGCTGCTCCACGTGGCTAAGAATATAACAGCTTGCAGGTCTTCGATTGTTCCTTTGCTCGCCGTACTACACCAATGCCTCCGCGGTGAACCCACAGCGCGACGCTGTCTTCTTGCTCCCATCATGGACGACTTCAAAGACCACGGCCTCGACGACTCCAATTTTGGGGAAAGCAATGCTCTCTCCGCCGTGAAGGCATTCGATGCATTCCCCAAGACGAAACCGTCGTACCAGCAGCGCACCTCGACCGGCGGCGTGTGGACTGTAATACTGATAGTGGCTTCCGTAGCACTCACTTGGAGCGAGCTGGCTCGCTGGTGGAAGGGCGAGACCACTCACACCTTTGCCGTTGAACAGGGCGTCGGCCACGACTTGCAGATGAATCTGGATACTGTGGTGAGAATGAAATGCGCCGATCTGCATGTGAATGTGCAGGACGCCGCTGGCGATCGTATCCTGGCAGGCTCCGTCTTCCACAAGGACGGGACGACGTGGGATCAGTGGGCGGGGAATCGCAAGGCACATGCGCTGGGCTCGACCAAGGAGGAGCGGCTCAGTCAGAAGGGCTCTGCCGCTTCTGCAGAGTACAGAGAGGAGGACGTACACCACTACTTGAGTTCTGCGCGAATGAAGCATAAGTTCGGCAGGACACCACACATTCCCAGAGGAAGAGAGGCGGATAGTTGCAGGATTTACGGCAGCATGCATGGCAATAAAGTCAAGGGGGACTTCCACATCACGGCCAGAGGTCATGGTTACATGGAATTTGGACAACATCTGGACCACAGCAGTAAGTCACCCAAATCGGCTAGTATAGGTCATATCCCAGAAATCGCTGACAATGACGCAGCCTTCAACTTCAGCCATCGCATCACTGAGCTATCATTTGGGCCATACTACCCCAGCTTGACGAACCCATTGGACAATACCTTTGCCACGACCGAGTCCAACTTTTACAAATTTCAGTATTACTTGTCTGTGGTGCCTACGATATATACGGCAGATGCCAAAGCATTGCGCAAGATTGATAAATATCATGAATCACCAACCTCTGGGGACGATGGGCTCAGTCAACAACCCAAACGGTACAGCAAGAATACCGTCTTCACCAACCAATACGCAGTCACCGAGCAGTCGCATCCGGTTTCAGAGAGCTCAGTTCCAGGAATATTTGTGAAATTCGATATTGAACCTATCCAACTCACCATTGCCGAGAATTGGAGCTCCGTCCCGGCATTACTCATCAGGATCGTGAATGTGGTCTCTGGGTTGCTAGTTGCGGGCGGTTGGTGTTTTCAGATCAGCGAATGGGGTAAAGAGGTCTATGGTCGTAAGAGCAAGCGTGCGGACGGCTTCGGCATGCTCGATGGTCGCCACGACATGAAACAAGCGCTATAGTTGTATACAGCCAGCAGATTTTCCATAAGACTGGCCTTGATATATTTTTTGCGTCTTTGCTCTGTAACAGCTGGCTACTTGATTCTTTCTCCACCGACGATAAGAGAGAGAGAGAGAGCAGAGCATTCTCTCGATAAATGCGCAATGCGTGCCCATTCTGCCACAATACGGTACGTCCACATACTTGCCGCCGCACAAGGACCACACATCCATCATCATTTGGCCCAGTTGCCTTGACTGAGCGAGAGCAGTCCCTGGACACAGTCGAGTTCCTCTTCTCCTGCCGGGGCGTGCCTCTTGCGACCTTGAGCCATGAAGCTGGACAGCTCCGGATCAGCCTCCGGGTCATCCACGCAAGACCGATCTGACCGAGTTGTGGTTCCGCCGCGCCGTAAAGTAGAGTTAGTGCTCAAGTCGTCTCGACTCTCCAGAGCAGCGTCATCAAAGTCGAGGTCACGGACCGGAGACCAATTCTCCTTGTCTGACTCGCCGCTATGCACATACTTGGTGGATGCGGAACCTGATTTTTTGAGCTTGGATGGTACCTGTGCTTGGTCAGGTCTTCCTTGCAGTCGTGCAAGGGCGGTTTGCGATCGCATTAGTGATCTTCGCTTCGTACGCTTCGCGGAGGCTTCGTAGGCGCCCAGGGGTGCATTGCGTTTGGCGGACAGCGGAGACAAGACACTGCGGCCAGACGATGTCCGGAGTAGGCCAATGGCACCAGTAGCAGACCCATGCGACTCCTTCTCAGCCACGCCTTCTAATTCAGAACGCGCATCCTTGTCGCACCAGAACTCCCACGATCGTGAGTCCCGTGATCGCCCGTTAGAGGGTCGCGTGGAAGAATTTCCCGATGTAAATAAGGGTCGGCCATCAAGCTTACTATGAATAGCTGGCAGAAGAGCAGCTTGGGACGGCCGAGGAGGCGAGGGTGACGAGGTGTCTTGGGTAGTCACGATAGCGTTGCCCTCCGCATTCATTGACAAGCGAATGGCGTTCGACTTCTTCCGTGGACGCCCGGGTTCGCAGCTAGCTGATGGTGGTAGAGGCACAGCAGTTTCTGAGAAGCTACGATGAAGAGAGGTGGCGCTTCGTCTATTGGCCAGATGCCCTATGTGAGATGTGGCAAACATCGGAGACGAGATCGAAGCTGCTCTGTTGATCATTGGCTGCGGCGCTGATAGAAGAGCTGGTGCAGCCTGTGAAGGAGGCTCCACGGGTGTCTTCTCAGTTTGGTGAAGTCCTGGTTCAAATTGGTGCTCCCGTGTATCTTCTTCTGAAGCTGATTGCGATGGACTCGGTATGTCCTGGCGGTTGAGACTATGGCCACGTATACTTGGATCAACGGACTGTCTGGCCAGTTCATCATACCCGCGACCTGGCAATTGTGCGTTCACTGATTTGGCCATTTGGTACTGTGCGATTTCATGTGGCAACAGAGGCCTGCCAGACTTCCTTCTGCAGCTTTGTCTTCGGTTCTGAAACCAGATCTGGGCCTCCCTATTAGAACAGCACCTTTTACAGTCTGGCTGCTGATGTTGCGAACCTGAACTTCCTTCTCGCCGAGCGCCACCTGCTCTACAAGCTGTAACCGAGCAGCCTTATCGGGTTTTGCATCCAGCTTGTACGCAGCTTCTAGAACAGCCTGATCATCTGGACTGTACACGAAAGGTTAGCGACCGTCTTGTTTGCGTTTTCGTCCTCTGGAAGATGTGCCTTGTCCTCTTTCGTTTCTGGCGAGCCAGTCTTTTGTCGTCTGTACTGGATGACGGATCGTCTTGCAGACCCGTCGAGGGGCCAGCAACTCCCTGACTGCCCGACGGCGACATACTCGGTGCATTAGGCGATTCGTTGTCCATTGGGGATGTGTACAGAATGCCAGTAATGTTTGGAGTAGGTAAAGGTGAGGTGAGGGGAGGTAAGGTAGGACGCGTCCATAGCTCTGTGGTTCTAGTTAGACGCGTCCAAGGGCCCGCGCGGCCATTCCCGCCAAGTGGGTCCAATGATCCCGTCCCGTTCCATTTTGGCGTTTTGCCATTTCCTCCGCTCTCCTGGGCTCGGGCTCCTACCTCCTACCTACCTACCTAGGTACTATATGTACCTCCTCTTATGGAACATCACCTTTGAACCTGTGCACTACCTCCTAGTATTCAGGGCTTACCGTGATTTGATCCAAGCCTACCTACTGACCGACAAGCTGCACAAGGACGTATGAATAGCAGATGAAATGGAACATTGTCTAGACACGCCATTGTCCATGATGTGGTCTGGGACCTGATTCAAACACGATACACGCCTACTAATGTAGTCCAATGCTAATCAGAGTCAAGCCCTCTCTCTATACGTACAACTGCTGTCCTGCCACGATGCTCGTGGCGCCCATCAAGTTCTCATTTCTCGGATCTGGTCGTGCCTGAAAGCAGCATGAAAGCATATCAAGTCGCTCAGTTGGTGCTGGTAGGGTCACTTTTCTGGGGATACCCATAATCTTGGCCAGTGGTGGAGGCCAGACCAGCCTTGCCCTTCGAGCCTCGTGCAACAGCATCGCTAAGGCAGTGTAAGTACGCATTACAGACTCGGTGTCGTAGGTCCCAGAAGCTATGCTAGACTCTAGCGATAGCCGGGCGGGTGGCGTTGACTCACTCGGGTAGTCCTCCCAGATCATCTACAGCTTCACGACCGACTTTCTGACCGTCACCGCTAGTGTTCGAAAGACGTCCAGAGCCGACATTGACAGTTCGTTGATCAGCGCTGTTGAAGTCTGAAGGAGCAGGTGGCTCTTCAGGGAGAGGAAGATTGGCTTGACGTTCGGCAATGATCTCTGCCTTGTTCTTGTCCGCAGAGTCTACTACAGACTAGAATATTGTGAGTCTCACGAGTGCGAAATTGACTGAAATCTACTCACCTGCAAGCCAGCAGCATATGAATCGGCAGGGAGATTACCGCCGTGTGCTTTGCTCTCCTGCTGCTGTAATTTTCGAACATCCTCCTATAAAAAATTCAGCAATCTATCTTGGACGCTGCCCTTGGGCCAGGGGAGTGCCCTACCTTGGTGAAGTGAGCGGTTTCTTGAGTGCCAGACATGGTTGTGATAGTGGTGGATGTGAAATATGAGCTGTGAGAAATCGTTTTGTTGGTTGGTAAGTACGACGTGGAAGTGGACTTGAGATGTGCAGTACGTGTACATGTATTTCCTTCCCTATATACCTATATGTACCTGTTTTTGTGAAATCCATGATGTCTTCTTTCCCTCGATGATCCCAATATGATGCCACTGTTCCCACATGGAGTGGACCATTCTTGCCGTCTCCTTCCTTGTCCATGGCCCACTAGGGAAGTGCAACCGTGCTCAGCGTCTTCGCGTGGCACTCGCCAGAACACGTGATACAATTGAACGAAGCTCCACTCGGGTTAAGGTACCTCCTAAGGTCAGGTTGTTCTAAGGCACCAACTATCACCACATGTTTACCTTACCATCATAGATGCTTACCTACTCAAGTACATGTTGTGACATGATTGTTGTAGCCTGTACGTGAGGGCATCCACCACAGTGACCACAGGTCCACAGCAGACATGGCGGAAATGAGCACCACTAAGCTGGAGCCGGACACTCACATGCTGCTCGACCAGCCCCTGCTACGCCTTACGCACGAGCTTTGCCGCAAGAATCTCAAGGCTGCGCAGCGACACATCGAGCAGGCGAGCAAGAACGTGCAAAAGGAAGTCCAAGGCGCTGCCACCGCCGTCGCTGGAGGCCAACCGCCCGCGCAGACGCTCGCCGCACTCGAGGCCACGCTGGCCAAGGCGCAGACACTGAAGCGGAAGCTCGAAGCGCTCCACGCCGAAGAGCAGCATTTACATCGCCAGCAGCGCGCTCGCATACAGCATCTGCAAGAGTTGCACGAGATCCCCAATCTTGCCGATGTCAAGTACGACAACTGGGCGCACGCCCGGCTCGATCGGCTGTTGGTCGATTATCTGCTCCGGCAGGGTTACACGCAGAGTGCGCGGGAGTTGGCGGCGGAAAAAGAGGTGACGGACCTGGTGGATGTGGACGTGTTTGAGGACTGTGGTCGTATCGAGCGTAGTCTGCGCACAGGCAGGACGCAGGAATGTCTGTCGTGGTGCAGCGACAACAAACAGGCGCTCAAGAAGCTCAACAGCAAGCTCGAGCTCGAGCTGCGCCTACAACAATTTATTGAGTTGGCACGCAGTGGAAGCCAGGTCGAGGCGATTGTGCATGCTCGCAAGTACCTCGCCAGTGATCAAGACCCTAGCTTTGGCCTGAGAGCTGCAGGACTCCTTGCGCACCCTGCAGACACTCCTGTAGAACCATATCAGGTCAGTGATGTCTGTCGTTATATTGCGTGCGCTCACACCGTCGTTGACGTGATTATAGGATATGTACAATACTGACAGATATGGCTATCTTGCCGAGCACTTCATCCGGACACATCATGAGCTCTTCAACCTCCCCACACAACCGCTAATCCACATTGCCCTCTCCGCGGGTCTCTCAGCTCTCAAGACGCCTACTTGCCACTCACAGTTCGCACTGCAGGCCAGTGCCAATACGGGCGCGCCGGTCTGCCCAATCTGCAGCACGGAGTTGAACGAGCTTGCTCGAAACGTGCCTTATGCACATCACACCAAGAGCCACATCGAGGACGACCCTGTTGTCTTGCCCAACGGTCGTGTGTTCGGCAGGGAAAGACTGAAGAGGCTCAATGAGAAGCTGGGGACCCGTTCAGGCTGTATCAAAGATCCAACCAATCTGGAAGACGAGTGGGATGAAAAGGACCTCAAGAAAGTGTACATTTCCTAGGTTCACGAGAGGCCTCTCATACCCTGCAGCCTTCGGGGCCTGCAAATATCATTATTGGACTGTGGAGCCCATTGCTTCACTTGGTTACTACAAGTCTCCCGTCCAAGTCCTTCATGTGCCAAAGTATTGCGATTTCCCAGTCCCTCAGCCGAATAGAAGATCCAGAATGGCAGTGCTCCGAAGACCCGAAGAAAGCACTCAGCACAGCTGTCGAATCTTCTGCGATCAGATTTGGCGGATCGTGCCTGCTCAATAGCTGCGGTCCAGTATTGTCTGGTGAAATTTTTCTTCTCTTTCTGTTTTTATCGCTCCCAGGCTCTTCCACTCCGAGCATAACTCATCCCCACCCCGGCAACGTCTGACAAAATTCCGAATATGTATCCACCACCCATTGACAAAACCCCGCCCATTCCCGCTCAAACGTTCTCTGCAATTGCGCGCGTTGATCGTCGTCCAGACAGGAATGTTGCATACTCCAGAGTGCTAGCTGTTTCCAGCCGTGCAGGTTCATCGTGGGATCACCCACGAGAACTTGGTAGAATTCGTAGGTGAGGGATTTGGTATCTAGTGTTGGACCTCTGTGTTTTTCCCCCGAAAGAAAGAGGGAGGAAAGGGTCAGGTTCGACGAAATAGTAAGGTGGAGGAGGTGGCAGGAGGCAGGAGGCAGGATGATATCGCGACGATGCGAGAGAATGAAAAGAGAGAGCGAAGAAGATTTACTTACCTGAACAAGGATGGATTGTCCGCATTGAGTGTACAGTGCAAACCAGCTGCCAACAACTCGGAGAAACAATGTTCTCGAATATTCTCACACAGCCCCAGCAACTCATTGGAAGTCGGACACAATTCCAGACAAATCTGTCGTTCTCTGTACTGCTGGACCAGAGTCGGGTGTTTGAGAATGGCATAGCCATGACCGATACGTTTGGCATGCAAGAGGAGCGCATCGTAGAGGTTACTATTCTCCGGGTCATGCGATCCGCCCGTATCGAGTAAGCTTTCTCCCGCGTGGAAGAGAAAAGGGATCGTAATCTGGAGTTCTTTGCACGATGCGGTGAAGGCGAGGAGTTGGTCAGCGTAGAAGGCGATGTGGTTGGGTCGATCTTCTGCTCCTACGAGATCGAAGCCGCAGATGAGATGGGGGAATTTCAGTTTGAGATTGAGGCACTTTTCGAGTTCCTGCTGCATCCTCTCGCGCGGAATGCTTCGAGGCGTGCAGTAGATGATTTTGATGCCGAAGGGAAAAAGGTGCAGCTGATGAGCGGCTCGCAATTCAATTTCTTTCTTTTTGAGCTCTTCACATATGATGGTCATTTGCTGGACATGGTCGAGCCGGTGGACACCGTCGTTGGCGGGAATATCTCGATCGAGCAGCATGGGGCGCAGTTCCGCATACATTACCTTATCCCTGATCATGCTATCGATTGCGGCGCCGATGTACCAGCGATAGACGGCCTCGTAGTTGACCAGTCCTTTGAACGCTCGAGTGCCTTGGTTGAAGCACGCCCAGACTCCATTGGTCGTCCGTGGATCGGCATACGCCTTACTTCGCGTGAGAATCATCTTGTCACGCACCCACTGCTCCGCTCGATCGAGCCCGGCATCGTTGGAGGAGGCAGAATTTTCAATGTACACGTCTTGCGGAAAGCCACGGCGGAAGTCTCGCCAGAGCATCCAAGCTGTTGTCGTATCGATTCTTCTTCTCCTATGTTCAGGATCATATCCCGCAGAAAAGATGTCACCGGCTCCAGTATCTCTGGGAAGAACATCAAAGGCAATCTCACAATCATCGAAATCTGCGAGCGCAAGGAGAGGCTTCGTACTCCGAATGAACATGGTATTCTCGACCGCTGCACTTCGCGCATGGGGTAGCAGGACTTCGGCCGGCAACTCCGCATTGAAATGCAAATGAAGATGAGCGCCTTTGGGCATATGTCGCGCAATATCCAAGGTTCGACTCTGATCGATGCGGTCTTTGTTCACCAGGAAGCGTCCGCCCATATCACGGGTGTGTTTGCCGGGAATGGCTTCGCCCGGTCGGTTGCCGAAGAGATTCGAGTCATATCGTTCATGCTCTCTGATGGCAATCAAGATGGCATTCGCGAGCACTTCTGTCTCGCTGGCGCTTCTTCTCGCCGGCTCGTCCCAGGCGACTTTGCGCTCGTCGTGCAGCAGTTCTTGACGCTGCTTCTGATATGTTGTCGAGTCTTGTAGCCGCTTGATGTGGTGCTCCAGTACACTTTTGGCTATATCGATTGCATCAGATGCTTCTTCCATTGCAATCACTGCCCCCAGGCGATGTCCTACAAACTAGTCCAGTTCCGGCGAGGTTGGACTGAACTAATGCTTTCTTCCTCTTCGGCGCTGAATAACTGCAGGGCTGAGTCGTGATACGCCTGAGGCATAGGATAACAGAAGAACAAAGAACAGAACTATTGTAAAATACCCTTCATCAAACACGACCTGCTCAACTTCTTGTCGCTTTGAAGTCTGGTCGGGTCTTCCTGTAAGCTGTAAGCACGACCATATATAGCACTCTGTGCCGCAACAGCCACTCTACATACGCGTACGGCGTAGGAAGTGAGTGAGTGAGTGATAAGCGAGAGGGCGGCACAGACTACATCCATGTACCACTAGGAGGTACCTCCTACGTGTGGCACAGAATCAGACGTCTCGGCGCGCACAATCACCTCGGCAAGTGCGGGTGCTGCCGAGGTGAATAAGCAGTACCTACAGTCCTACATGTATTTCATTATTGCGGAATGCGGAATACCTACATCAGAATGAGCTTTTTGGTGAGAGAAAGTGCAGTTACCTACATGTACATGTACCTTATATAGGGAGACGATAAATGGATGTTTCTCCCGCACAGACTACAGTGCGCTCAGGTAGCAAATATGCACAGAAACACAGTGTCATGCTCTGGTTGATATGTGAAGCAATTTGCTACAGCACGGGAACAACTCACCTAATTACATCAGAACACTTGCAAAAGGAACAAACTCCGTAATTCCCTCAAAGGAATGAATCGATGTCATAACCATCACTTCATGCTTCCATATCCATGTTCGAGACAATTTCTTCGCTCATGTCCCTCAGTTCTCTGCTGGTCCAATCGTTGTCACTTTCACCAGCATACTCGTCGACACTATAACTGAAGCTGCCATCGCTCAAACCATTGCGAAAATCTTCCAGATCAAAAGGGGGCACTTCCGATTCGTCGTCGTCGTCGTCGTGGACCTCAATCATCTCATCGTCGTCGTCTTCCCCATAGCTAATGGTGTCAATGCTCCTGAGCATATCGCTACTCAACCAGAATGCTGCACGCTTCTCTGCACCTTCCCCCACGGAAAGACTCGACACCTTCCGTGATGCGGGCTTCGGCCGATGGAGGGTGATCGCCGCCTGCAGAGGACTATGTGATATGACGCTGAATGCGCGCAGATATATGTAGCATACCCGCTTCTTCTCTTTGTTGAAGAAAAAGTAATGCATACTCCAGATGGCGCCTTCGTCGCCATCGAAAGGATCGTCTTCCGGATCATACGTATACTTTTCGCACTGTCTCAAACCCATCTCCTTATCAATCAAGCGCCACATGTTCTGGTTCCAAATATCGTTCCCACCAGGTCCCGGCGCCGAGCTCGACAGCGATGATGAGGGCACCAGATAGTTCGAAGTCGTGGTCTGCCTCGGTCGCAGGTGTTGCAGAGTGCTGTCTAGTTTGTGCATCATACTTCTCAAGCTCCTCTGCTTGTTAAAGTCCGAGGGCCGAAGCAGACGCGAAAAGTCGTAGTCGGGATGTGATGCATTCAAAGTTGCGATGAGGTAGGCAAAGGTCCGTCGCGCGGTGATTTGACTCAAGGGACCAAATGGCGAAGCTCGCGACAAGTCAATCTCGGGCGCTTCGACCGTGCAGCCGCGCCGCCTGCTTTCAATCCTTTCGCTGCCATGTCCATCATCACTAGGAGCGTGGCGGGGAGGGCTCAGAGATGCGGAGAGTCTCACCAGGGACTCATATTGAGATTCTAGGCTATTCTCGATGTTCTTGTACAGCTTCTTGTCGCCGCCTGCGGCCTTCGTGGTATACATGTCGCACCCACCTATGAGATGAGTATCTGGCGTCGAGAAGTTAAGCGCATTCGTAACAATGTCAATTTCGCGGACTGGTAGGTACTAGATGTGTGTCAGCCTATCAACTCATACGGAAACGAGAAACCGTATCAGCTGCGGTGCATGCAGAGGCCGATCAAGATCGCCTGCACGATTGCGAATGGCCCAGATCGCCGACCTCGACGCCTCTTATCGGCCCACACACAGCTCCTCGTCGTGATTGACGCACCTTCATCTTGCCCGCCTGCTCGAAAAGCGCGAGCTGCTCTTCACGATCGTCGCGCGCACTGCTACTCCACCCGCGTCGACTGCTGGCCTACACAGCGGCCACGTCTGGATATATTCCTAGCTTCTCGCTCGGAGCTTTTCGCGACGGGGTAGAACGCCAGGTCACCGCCGGCGGATGGTAATGGTGGTGGTCGCGGAGCTCGGATATGCCTGATGTACACTTCCCTCAATCGGAAGCCGGGGGGTCGCAAGACTCGTTACTAGACGCATAGAGCGTCTAGCAGGCGCAGGACATGGTGGTGGTGTTCGCCATATGCGCAGACGGTGATTCCTGTGTCGATGTCGTTGGAAGTGGTGACGAAGGTCGCGGAGCAACGTCGAATCGCATCACGTCGCAAGAGGTCCGATGGGGAGGGTCTCGGCTCGGCGCAGTCAGCCTCAGTCTCACGTGAGTCGAGCTTTGAGTTTGCCGAGTAGCCAATGAGCCCAGACGTCGCCCGCACGCCCACGCCCTTCCTTTCCTCCATCATCCATCATTACCTGTATTCATTAGGCCGTGAAACCTGCTGCTGGCTGCACATGTCAGTTGACCAGGTACTACGGGCTGCTGCGACCACGTGCGCAGAACTTGCAGCGAATGGTCAGCGGCAGGATCGGGCGGAAGACAGCATTTGGCAGTGGAACCGCACGTTGCTGCTGCTGCTCCTTGACCGGACAAGAACGTCAAGGCCAGCCCAACAGCGAGAGGATTCGCCTCAGCCGGACTTGGTCGCAAGTGACATGTGTTGGCAAACCTCATAGGGCACGACACGGTCTGTCATCGTAAAGAATCATTCCATTTGCATGCGGTGTGCCGCTTGCTCTGCACTGCAGGTTATGCTATCCCTACAAACGGCCGGTCCTCGAACCAACAGCCATCTAGCCATGGCCATCTCGAGCTGAGGGTCAGACGTCAATAGACGCCAGGCGTCGGAGTGTGCTGTTCCCACTCCTGAGCAGATGTACTTTGAAAGATTCCTAAGCAGTTAAAGGAGCCCAGCGTTTTTGAGCTGTTTTTCGAGCTCCACACTCATCTCTGCATTCGTCTGTGGGGAGCGAGAATATGTCAGCCTGATCATGAACACTGTCAGGAGGCAGTGGGAGATACAAATGCCCCGCGTGTTCTCTTTTAGCCTATCCTCGTCACAGAATCGTCCTCGACCTAACGGTGCAGGCATCAGTTGGTGGTGATACAGGACAAGCTGGGTTGTGCAAATCCGCGCCCTCACTCACCTCCATATCCTCGAGGCTGTCTTGCGCGCCGATAACCCGAAGTACATTCTTCTTGCTGCTCTCCTGCATCTCGCCCGCAAGAAGCAGCTCGTCTAATATGAAATAGGCCTTCTGGAAGTTGAATATGATGTCGAGCTCGCACACATTGCCGTAGTACTTGTCCATCTGTTCTACGTAGCGATGCACAATCTCGAGAGTGATGAGCTCGTTGTCTGTCGGATCGGTGGCGGCGATGAAGAAGAGGGAGGCATATCGGCGGTAAACGACCTTGGTATCTAGGCGGTCAGATGTCAGCAGCCAGGCAGGTAAAGCATGCCGGCATGTAGATGTGGCATTCGCAGCAGACGAAGCAGGATGGAGCTACCTTTGTACTCGAGGAAATTGCACATGCGGGCACGGCGCGCGAGCACCAGCTGCGAGACATCCTTGATGATCTTCGCCTTATCCTTGGGCGAGAGCGTGGTGAACCATTTGGCGAGACGCTGAAGAAAGCGGGCGTTGTTTAGCGTGCAGTGCAAGGAGAGGACAGGCGTGCGCGTGTGCATAGGCGACCTACGACTTTGCCCTGTCTAGAGAGCAGGATGAGATATCTCGACGCTCATGTCAGCATCAATGAGCGCGGGGACATGGAGAGTGCCATTGGCAGACCACCCGAGAGGAGGCGGAGGAGATGGCGGAAGGAGAGGAGGCTGCGAGTAGTAGTGGTGGTGGTGGTGGTCATGGTGGCAGCGGTAGTAGTGATAGCATCAGCACATACCGAATGGCCATTGTGGTGTCGAGGACAGCCAACAGGCAGAAAAGAAGCCGCAGGAGGGAGCGAGGGCAAGGCAAATATGAGTGAGTAGGGCAGGATGAGAAAGTGTGTGCGGCCCCACTTGCTGTAGGCCCGTGAAGAGGTCGTCAGGTCAGGTCGCGGCTTAAAATTTATTAGCGGGTGCAGGTGGTTGGAGCCTTGGAGGAGGAGTACCTAGGTAAGGTAAGGTAAGGTAGGTCAGGTAGGAGGTACCTGTAGGAAAGATAGCGTCAGGCAGCTTCAAGTGTTCCGGTTTCTTAGCTGGGCTGGGCGGGTGCACACTTCTCACATTGCCTCGTCGTTCGCGCCGTGTCTAAGGTTGTCGTGACGGGATGTCGTTGCAACAAAGGCAATTGAGGTATTGAGGTCATCGCCGCATCCGCCCACCTCGCCGCCGCCGCCGCCGCCTCGTCTCCACCTCCCCTCCACCTCTGCTCGTGCCGCCGGACAGTGCACTCCACCACCACCCCCGCCGCCAACCACTCCCGCACTCAACCCCTCCCTCCTTTACGATGAAGCTCATTCTCTCCACCTCGTGAGTTGGCCTTGCATTCCGCCATGTCGCCGCCGCGGCTGACCGTGCAGTAACATCATGGGCGCCGGGTCCTCGATCCGCAGGTCGCCTGGCACCAAGTCCAACACCGAACTCGTGTCTTCGCTGCGCGCCAACTTCGCTGAGCACTCCGACGCTGGTGAGGCGCAAACCGCATCCAGCACAGGCAATGTCGCCAACAGTGCGAGCGGCGACAGTGAGCAGACCAATGGCAGCGAGCCTGCTGTGCAACACTATCCGCCCTGGACGAGAAAAATCGGTGACACGCTAGAGGTACCCGCCCTAGAATTTTCTCATTCTGCGCTACAGGAAGAGCGCGAACAGTATGATATTACTGTCAAGCTGTTCTATTTGCCAGGCGGCACGAGTTCATCGCGGGACGCGCAAACGAGGGAGGCATTGGACTTGGTCATGAAACAGCTGCATGTGCCGTCTATTGATTTGTTGATTCTATCATTCCCTGGCATATACTTCGACGAGCAAGAAGATTGTCCCGACAAGCTGTCGACTCGTGGTCCGGTGGAAGCCGAGCCCGAACCTCTAGAGCGGCAATATGATGCTTGGAACACCGCAGAAGCTTTACATAAGGAGGGCACCGTGGCACGACTGGGCGTTGCAGAGTTCGGCAAAGAACGCCTGGAAACGTTCTTGAACAAGGTGAGAGTAAAGCCAAGCGTTGATCAGATCAACCTCCGCGACTGCTGCTCGGTGCCCAAAGAGCTCATGGCCCTCGCAAAGAGTCAGAGCGTGGATCTACTAGTTCACAACGACTGCTCGAATATTCTGCCTCGTGGTACTACGCGAGACCTTCTCGGCCCCATTCAAGATGGTGCTAGAGTGCTACCTGAGCCTGCAAAGACCGGAGACAAGCGAAAGAGCGCTCATTTAGACGATGACCAGAACGAACTTGCTGTGCGAGGCCTGGGTGGCGAGGTACAGCCGCAATGGGTGGTCAAGTACACCGCCGTGGTGAAGAACCGAGGCGTCGTTGAGAACAAGGGCTACTTTGCTGTCGCAAACCTTACCTGAGGGGCATTAGTACGACTCATATCCGCGAAAGAGCCTAGCAAGGAAAAGTGCATCTGCTTAGATATACAGCATTGGCCGACACCACGGTATTGTTCCTCCTTGGGCAGCGCAGTACACATACAAACCTCGGGTACGAGCACCTATTGAACGGTACCACCTTGTTGTTTGTCATGGGTGGCCGGACATCTCTATTCATGCATACAACAAGGCTAAATGGCGAAATGATTGTGCAAAAGCGCCCTGTAGAATTGCATTTGAACGTGGACCACGGCTTCGGCGTCATTGACGACTCATTGTCGCCTCGAGGGAAGAAGGGTACATGATAGGTACAAGTATTTGGGATAACATGCTAATCACGGTGATTGCGGAGAGGGCGCCAACAGCACACTCACCATACCCCAACCTTCCACATTGAAGTTGTCAAATCAATATCCAGTCTCAAAAAGACTCCCACGCCGATACCGCCGCTTACCACTTCCTGACAGGTAACCATCCACGTAGGAACACCAACTAGGTACCTGTACCTATACTGACCTCCCTCAGCCCGACTTAAGAGCTCACAGCCCACGCGCTCTTGGCCTGGCTGGGGTCTCATCCCATGTTGTGGTCTTTTAAGTGTGAGAATTGCATCATAGGTGATGCACACCTGGTGGAACTGTTTGACTATACACTTATATTCCTGTAGGACCCGAAGTTCATCCTATGATGCCCGGTGCACCATTGATAAGTCGACTCGTCGAATGCACGAAGATGATGGCATAAATATAAAGTCTTCCAATACGATGCGTAGTTACTGGATGCCATATGAGCCTCTTCGTTGACCTTGAAATCATATCAGGATATGCTGGAAATATCGAATGGAACACATCGCCTCTGCAGTCAGGTTGCTTGCTCGATTGTTTAAGCTTCATCAGATGGATGATCGCTGAGTTCGGGGCTCTCGAGGCCTTCCGTGTGGCTCGCTTGGGAATCCTCCTCAACAGCACCATCCTCATCATCATCATGCGCAGCGTCCTGTCTTGCCTTCTTACGAGCAACCACAGAAACACCACCCTTCTTCTCTCCGTGCCTCTTCACCAAATGTTCCATCGGACACCCTTCATCCCAACCTTCACTCGACTGCCCCGTTGCAGCTCGACATCTCGGACACGTCTTCCCATGTTTGATGAGCAAGTAGTGCAGTTTGTATTTGTACTCATCCGGAATCTTGGCATCGCAATGCGAATACGTCGTATTTCTGTCCACTTTGGGCTGACCCTTTTTCGTGGACTTGGGCACCCAGCCCAGATATTGCACCAGGCGAAATACATGCGTGTCCACGGCAAATGAGGGACGTTGGAGGCAGAAGAGTGCGACGCAAGAAGCTGTCTTGGGCCCGATTCCGGGATAGGTGATGAGTTTGTCGATGGCATCGTTTGTGCTCATTAGATGTAAGTGATCGAGGGAGATGACATCCTGATCAGCTTTGGTGATTTCTTCGGTCTGAGTGCTCGACTCGGGCGCGCTCTGGCTTTCGGATGCATTGTCATTCGAGGTTAGCAGCGCCGCTCTTCTCTCTTGGTTTTCTTCGTAGACCATTTGGAGGATGTTTTTGATGTCCTTGGACTTGACATTGGCCAAGCCGCCACGTTCAATGGCCTTGAAGACGTCCTGCTGCGGCGCCAGCCGAACGGCGTTCCAGTCCACACTGCCTTTCCCGATGCCTTCTTTGAGGGTGCCAAATCGACTGACGAGCCCCCGGAATGCTGTGCTGGAGTTGCTGTTGGTAGTGTTGGCGCTCAGCCGAGTCCTGATAAGAGCGTCCAGCACAGATGGGACTTCTCCACAGCCAGCTACATCTAATGATGGTGGTGGAATGGCTTTGGGCACGCTCACTTTACCATGCTTCTTCTCTAAGATGCGCACGACCTCCTCACATTCCGCCCGTGTTGGTCGGTCGTAGTCTGGGAATGGCGAAACTCCATGTTGTAATGCCTGCTTTGCCTTTTTGGGCGTCTTCTTGGCTGGGGTCGCTCCTTCCTTGCTTTCAATTTTGACATAAGATTCTTCTTCTGGTGGAGTCGATCGTTTTATGCGTTTCTTTGCTGGTTTTGCCTCATCGGAATCATCTCCAGGTGCTGGCAAAGTCGTCCCCAGATTGTGTGGCATTTCATTTTCATCAATTTTCTCCTGCTTGATAGGCTTCCGAGTCCTCTTCTGTGATGCTTTAACCGGCTTGGGTGACAGTACTTGAGATTCGGACTTGATAGCAACTCTTGGTTGACGTAATGGTTTTGAGCGGGATATAGGGGTCGCCGGAGGGCTTGATAGCTGCTGCGGTGCCGCTTCTTGAGTTGCTCTCGCGAGCGAAGCGCGAGTCACTCGAGCCATAGTTTGATGAAAAGGACGAGTTCGATATTGCCAACAGAAGAAGGCGCTACGCAGCAGTGGTGGTACTGTAAGAGGTCGAGTCCAAATGGATGCCACTGTCTCTTGTGAAGGGAGTGAGACGCTTCTGAGGCAGTATTCGCAAATACCAGAATCTATCGGAATTGGAAAAAAACAAGGAGTGCAATGAAGACATCAACGAGGTCCATGTAGACATGGAGGTAGGAGATTAAAGATCACAAGAATGGTGATGTCAGTTGATCGACGCGCTTGGGCCAGGCGTGCCTGCCGTGCTGCTTTGTTCTGCCTCTGGTGACTGCCAGGTGAGGACTTTTCACATCTTCGACCATTACATGTACCTGAGGTGTACCTACGAATTCTCATCTCACTTGCGCGGCAATCGCTGGCAGTTTCGCGCCAAGCGCACACTGATATGTGGTGCTGTGTCACGTTCAGATAGGTTGTGACTTTGTCTTCCGGACTACATAAGCTGTCATCTACAACCCCAAAGCACCGGCAATGACCAATTTCCAATTGTTCATCATGGCCATGCATCAACCAGTCGGCCCCAATCTACTCATCGACGTCGGCATGTTTAGATCCGTTGTCCACAACACGATTAGATACCAGTGTAAGCCATTCTTTACAATAGCGCCAAGAGTTTCATTCTTCGCGCCCTCGATGTGCGCTCCTGCTCAAGTCTCAGTGCAGCATGTCAATCTCTGCCTCAAGCCTGCGGAACATGCTCGCCGAGGCTGTCCTGTGCTGGAATACTCCAGACATAGCATAGCTCGCTGTCGCTTTCATTTCAAGCTTGGTCCTGTCCTGGGTTGAAGGGAGTTATTTGAGAGGAGAAAATCTGTCAGCAGACCCTCATCCAAATGAGGCAATGCTGCCAGAAACTGCGAGATAAACCGGGAATGATCATCAAGCTCCCAGCATTACAGGAGCGCCGAGCTTCCGGGCATGACCAAACTTGAGGTATGCTTTCATCGCATATCTCGCTGCTTTCGCCAGACTCCGAGGAAGCCGCCCCCTATAATGCGATCACCCACCTTTGGTCTGCAGATTGAAGACCACTTGACAGCCTCTGCATGAACAGGAGCTGACTCTGCGTCGCGAGGCTCATGTCCACTGTGTTGAGAGTCTTCTGTTGTAGCAAGCTCTTCCTGTTCAATCTCCTTTCTCTGCTCTGCCCTTGTCCGCACGAACCGTACATCCCATTCCCTTCCTCCACTGCTGCCATTGACTCCAAGTTCTATCACCTTTTCGAGATCCAACTGTATGCCTTGATCTTTGATCTTCATAGCGAGCTCGGTGATCTGCGAGATGGACGGAGTGAAGACGATCAGCATACCGTCTATCTGCAATGCTCCGGCTAAGGTCTCGACGTGAGCATCGGCGTTCGGTAGGTCGAGGAAGGCGTGCGCGAGGAATGGTTCGCCGTCAGCTCCGCGAGAGCATTTCTCCTCTGCTATCCACTCGCTCACATCTCCAACATGGAACTTGACGTTTTGTGCATAGATGCCGCCACGGAATGCCGAAATAACATCTTGGGCGTGTGCAGAGAACTTTGGAGATATTTCAATGGTATGCAACACCGCATGGCTGTTCCAGATGGCACGGCTCAAATACATAGTGAGCGCGCCATGCCCTGTGCCAGCTTCAAGAATCTCTATGGGATCATCACCTTCGGTCCCAGGGGACGAAGGGTGAAGATTGAGCAGCGAGCAGATGACATTAGCATCTGCAGGATACTTATCGAAGCGGTCAGCACACAATGCCTCGTTCTTTCTTGTGCTGGGAGTTCAGCCCATGAAAGAGACTTACGATTGGCGTGACAAGGCGCCTGCTGAGACGACAGTAGTCATCAAGCGTCACCTGATGCAAGCGATACTCTGCCCCAACGGTGCCCTTGGTACTTCGAGGAGTTTGCGCCCGCACAACATCGCGCACCCTTCTGCCAATGAGGTCGTCGTGGAGAACCACGCCCCTATGCGATTCAATACGCCTGCCAGGCTTCAATGGCTTCGAGAGGATTGGCGGGGCGGTGCGATCGTTCTTGTTGCGGAGGAGAACGAGATCGTCTGCCTGGAAGGGTCGATCACTAAAGAGTCGGCGGCGTGTGCTTGTCCTTGTCCAGCAGGCAGATGTTGTAATCTGATGGAGGGCAGATCTGCTCAGCGTCGCTGCAGACGATGGTGAGCCCCGCAATAACCTCATGGATGACCTTAAGCACGGTGCCTAGCTTACGTACCACGAGACTTGAAGCGACCAGAAGAAAAAAAGAGAGAGAGAGAGAAAGAGAGAAAGAGCTGCAGAGAGGATAGAGGATAGAGGATACCAGGTAGCTAAATCACTAAGGTAGTTAGACTCTCGCTAAGCACCATTAGTTAGGACTATGTCGGACTAGCTTGTAGTGCAGGGTAGATCTAAGGCATTGATTTACTGGGCAGGGTACCGTATGAGCTTATTAGGATACTAAGGTAACCTGACGCTCTGCTTTACCCCCATCATCACCACCACCGCTGCCAATACCACCACAAACTTGCTGCCTCCCATCGCCCTCCAAGCCCTGATCCACTGGGCAAGAGTCATGGCGCGTGCCTTGCACCGACGGCCCCCGTGACACAGGTACCCCACATAGAACTTACGCCTTCCAACAACAATACAGCGGCACATATACTTCAGCTTGCCACAGCGCAGGTGGTGTTGCACACCATGACTCGGCGAATCGTGAGTCCATGCCGACGTAGAGGTGGATGAAATTGCAAGACGATCAAGCTGATGAGGAACCTAGGTCCGCACTCTAGGCCAGATCGCCGCCTGCATCTCTCTGTTCTGTGTCCTGATTTTCTTTGCGGACTCGCGATATCGAGTTCTTCCCGCTTCCATCCATCACGCGCTTCCCTCGCACCATGCTGGGACCGTCATCACAGATGTCACGATCGCGTTTTGTTCAACCGTGAACCCCCTCTCCAAATGTCTGCTGGAGGACCACAATTGGAAACGAGTGGAGAAGGACCTGCTCCTGGGCGGAGGCTGGATACGAAGCGCATACTTACACGTGCAGCGCAAACAGGAGGAGGAGCTGCTCAGCGACGACAAAGTGGTGGTGGGAGTGAAGGTTGGCAAACAGGCGCCCGCAATAGGAGGACAGGACGAGAGCCAAGAGCCATGGGAGAGCAGGCCAGGTGGACTCTGGATCCAGCGAAGCAGCAAGAGGCACGACAGCGATTCTGATCGCGCAGTGACTGCTATCGATGTTCTATTCGGACCAGATGCTGTCGACCCTCGCCCAAACTGGGTTTTGGAGAGCACCACTCTGCTCATTGACGGGATCAACGCCAATTATGCTCCACGATTGAGCGCGCGACATGGCCGTCCACGAGCTGAGCATGAAATCAGTCCGACATTAAGAGTGAACAAGGACGGCAAGTTCAAGATTCTGCAGATTTCGGATGCACATCTCTCGACTGGAACGGGCGCATGCAGAGATGCAATTGGGATAGACAACAAGCCTAGCACCAATTGTGAAGCAGACCCTCGAACGTTGGAATTCCTTGAGCAGGTACTTGACGACGAGAAACCAGATCTCGTAGTCCTCTCCGGAGACCAAGTTGAAGGGCCTGCTGCGCCAGACACGCAAACAGCAATTTTCAAGATAGTCGCACCCCTGATCGAGCGGTCGATCCCGTACGCAGCGATCTTCGGTAATCATGACGATGAAGGTCCTCGCTCGTCTCCTCGAGTAGCCCAGATGGCGTTGATGCAGACTTTGCCATATAGCCTTTCGGAGCCTGGTCCGCAAAAAGCAGAGGGCGTGGGAAATTACTACGTCGAAGTGCTCGCTCCAGGATCGCAGCACTCTGCTCTCACACTTTACATGCTAGACACCCATAGTCTCACTCCGGACGAGAAGCGATACAAAGGATACGACTGGTTGAAGCCCGGACAGATTGATTGGTTTCGCGAGACTGCGCAAGGATTGAGGAAGGCGCATGCGAGGTATAGTCACATTCATATGGATATGGCTTTCATACACATCCCTCTGCCAGAGTATGCCGACCGGTCGAATGTCATGGCGGGTGGAGCGTGGAAAGAAAGCGTAACCGCTCCCGGGTTCAATAGCAAATTCTACGATGCATTAGCAGAAGAAGGCATCGTAGCTGTGGGCTGTGGACATGACCATGTCAACGACTATTGCGCGCTGAGACCGCACAAGCATGAAGTTGCAGCAAGGGACGAGGTAGGCGAAGGACAGCAACCACATCATGCTCATACACGGGAGAAGCTGGGTCCTTGGTTATGCTATGCTGGTGGTTCGGGTTTTGGCGGATATGCTGGGTATGGGGGCTATCATCGAAGGGTGAGAGTGTGGGAGGTGGACACGAACGCGGGGAGGATGTCCACGTGGAAGAGGGTGGAATGTTGCGGGGACGAAGTGGGAAAGAGGATCGACGAAGTGGTGCTCGCTGATGGAGGCAATGCCATCGCTCCGGCGTAGATGAGGGCCAGGGCATAGGTATCATTTATTGCACGCGGGATGCGTGCATGAGGTGCTGCTACCACGTCCAGGGATGGCATACAGACGGGCCGAGCAAGCAGAGGTGGAAGGAGAACGGGAGGATTATTATTTATGGGTATTGCGTTGGCCGCAGCCACCAGAAAGAAGGTGGGGACGGTCCTGATGAGCCCACCAAGCACCTGTAAGGTACCTACCTGAGGTAATGGCTCAGCAAGGGTGCCGCGAGACAGAAAATCCCTAATATGGACGGGAGGCACCAGCAGGTTGGTCGGTCTCAACCGGGTGTAGTATAGGTATGCATTTACCCAGCGAGGCGCGCTCTGCGTACTCTGGGCAATTCAGCCTGTTTTCCCAGTGCATCGCCGGTTGTTGTCGCTCCACGTGCCGAAGAGTCTAGTCGCAAACCTGGACGAGAATCGTCAAAAGGTATGCAGTAGTTCTAGTCGTACCCCACGAGACAGAGACATCAGCCGGCCCGTTTGTTCGCTGGCGTTCTCATATCAGGTATATCAATCACATCTGTCGCCCTCTTCCACACCACCCACCCAGGGCAGACTCCCGCTTACATACATACTTTCCACGAGGCGTTTGACGACTCGACGACGAACCCCACACACACGTGCACGCACACACTACGACGAAGAACACGTGGATACATGTACCTTACGATACGAAGAAGCACGACGCTACGAAGAATGACTGCCCGGAATGACTGCACCCAGCCCAGCATTACTACCACACTACCTTACCTATGATGGCCTCCCACCTGCGCTCCTCGGGCCTCGGAGGTGCATGACGCAGCGAACGCGGGCCTGACGGAGGGACTGTGACGGTATCGTCCTGTACATTGCTTGCCTGTACAGAGAAGACAGTGTTATTGGAGGTTGTCCTACTAGGTATCCTGTCCTGTCCTGGTCTGGTCTAGTCTGGTCTGGTCTGGTCTGAACCTGAGGTGATCATCACCCACCGCCTTTTCTCACGACACCGCGGTCTCCACTGTTCTTCCCCAGCGAAACTTCCAGGCAGAAACGCCAAGCCCCAACGTGCCGACCGGTGCAAAGCCTACCTACCACCACCCACCACTTGCCACCTTGCTCTTGGATGCTGTACCTTACCGATCTTTACCGATACCAACCTTACGACACTACCTCCTACCTAATGTACCTACGACAGAGCACCGCGCGGTAGCATGTGGTACCTTAGCATTCCCATCCCGCACCGCCAACTTCAGCTCTCCGAAGCTCTTCTCGTCACGACAATCATCAAGGTGACGGTCCCTCTCGCGTGGACTGCACACTGCCATCCCATCACGACGACCCGTTGAGCCTGCGACAGCCATGTTCCCGCCCCCAACACCCGTGGACCGCAAGATCGGGCCGACCATCAGACACACTTATGCAGGCCCCATCTGCAGCCCTACACAGGCTACACTCTAGCGTGCCGTCCTGAGCCGTCAGGCGGAGACAGCTTGCATGCGACTCGCGTGCAGCTTCCTGATCGGGCTCTTTCGAGGATGGGCGGCCCGTTACAGCGTACCTTAGCAGCAGGGGAGAGAATGACATGACATCGTAGGTGCAGGTAGGAGGTGAAAAGGACTGAATCATGGAGTGTGGAGCATCCCAAGATACGGCCGCCTGCTTCTGTCGGATACAACCGGTCGCCTCTGCGCCCTACCCTGCCGTGCCGTGCCCAGGAAAAAGAAGAAGAGGAAGAAGAAGAAGAAGAATTATTAGAAGAAGTCTCTGCAGAGTTCGCGCCATGTCACGCCATGCATCTGCACGTAACCGCCCTGTTACGCATCGTCATGGCGTGTGAACGCCTCCGACCAAGCCTTCCACGAGCATCATCACCCATCGAGTTTGTGCTCCTTCCTTCTGCCTCCGCCTCCGTGCTCCTTCCTTTCGTTCGGCTTCTATTATGGTCGACCATCCATGGATGCGCGCTGCACAAACTACATGTACATAACCTGACCTCTTATTAGTGGGGCCCGCGTTGGGATGCTCGATCTTCATTCGCGTCGAATGCTTGGCCTCTACTAATGCCTTCTGCCTCTCTTGTCCGCGTGCTTCCCCCACCTACACATACATTTGCCTACATGTAACCAGTCTCCCACCACCATCACCTCCGCGACCACCACTACCACCACCCCCACCCCCACCCTTCTTTCATCGGACGACATCCTCCGCCTGCTCCTCCTCCTCCTCCTCTGCCGCTACCGAGTGAAGATCGGGGACTAATGAACGATACGCTCTGCGCGTGCTGCTGAAGACCGAGCTACCCCGACGACATATTCTCTCGTTCGCATATGTCTTGTGGCTTCTGATGCTGATCGCTGCCTTGAACGGCCCTGTAGAGGTCACTGTCGCCTCGAGAGGTTTCAAGCACGCCGGGGACATGTCCGAGCCATCGGCATTGGTCTCCGCGGCGCCTGCGACTGCGAAAAGAGCTTGTGATGCATGCCATCGCAGGAAAGTGAAATGCATTGGTGATGGCACGAGGCCGTGCAAGAACTGTACATCAGCTGGCCTGACGTGCACGTATAATGCCATTCCGCAGTAAGGCTGGGCCGTCATCGAACGGATGCTGTTGGGCTGACACGCAATCTCAGGAAAAAGGGACCAAAAGGGTCGAGAGCAAAGGTCATATCGGAACTGCGGGAGACGCAGCGACAATCACAACTCGCAGCCAAACGTCACGGCCTGGAATTTGACAGCCCCCCACACTCTCCGACGCACCTGAGGAAAACGGGCTTATTATCGATGAAAATGATCACGACATGTGTCGACTACTATTTCGCCAACATGTATCCCACGCAACCCATCATCCACCGCCAAAAGGTAGGCGAAACCATCGGACAGATGGAAACCAGCGGCGAAGCATACTGCCTGGTCGTGTCATTATGTGCGTACATGATGATACAGCCAAACATGGTCCTACCTCCCGAGGCTTTCGAAGGACTTGACTTTGCACCGCAGCCGAGTCTGCAGCTAGGACAGGCGCTACTGCAAGAGGCCTTGCGCGTGCGAAGACGCCACAACTACATCGAAAATCCGACTGTGTGGTCCGTCATCACGTCCTTCTTCTTCTTTGGCAGCTACTTTTGCCTGGATCGACACAACACCGCGTGGTTCCACTTGCGAGAGGCTACTACGCTCGCTCAGATCATCGGAATGCATGATGAGGCGACATATCAGGCAACGGATATTGTCGAAAGCTCACGGAGAAGGAGGCTGTACTGGCTGCTGTTTGTCACCGAGCGTGCCTATGCGCTCCAGCAGCACAAGCCATTGACATTACACGCTACCATTAATCTGCCCACCCTGGACGAGGATCCAGCGGAGACGGTAGAGCTCAATGGCTTCATTCATTTGGTCAATCTATTCCGACCCTTTGACGACACTTTTGTGGGCCTCTGGAATAAGGCCCGCGTGGGATGTACTACAGAATGGCTGGCACGACTACAGCAGCAGCTTTCGGATGCCTTGCCCGCGTATCTGCAGTGCACTGAATCGCAAGCGGTGGATTTGAGATGCTCGCAGCAGTGGCTGCGTACTATGGTATGGCAGCTCTCCATTAGCCACGGCTTCCTATCCTCGGCGGCACCAGACAATGCCATGAGCTTCAAATATCCCATTGAGATATCTCGAGATCTGGTCCACTCCGCCACCCAATTTACTCAGCAATCTATGGAGGTTCACGGCATAGGTCTCATTGAAAAGCTTTTTGATGTTGCTTGTACACTGACCGATGTGATGTCTGTCATTCCACATGAGCATTATACCTTTGGCTTTGGGCCGCGAGATTACCTCAATCAGCTCATGACTCTGATCAGTACGTTGAGGGGTGGACAGCAACGGTATATGCCTCTTTTGATGCAGAAAATCAGCGATTCGATGCCCAATGTTCCTGGGTACACCGTGCCGACCGCGATGCCGCCTCGGCTGAGGAGTGAGGAGTTTTACGATCACAGTCACTCGAGCGCGGGGAACAGCCATGATAGCTCGCCTTTTGGAAGCCCGCTTTCTGCTGGAGCTGCACAGCCATTCGCAGGAATTGGGCATTATCCCGCGGAAATACATCAGTACGGCGGCCTGCCTGTCAGCGGCGCACAGGCAATACCGAGTCACGGAGGAAGTGGACTCTTCGATGTCAGCGCGGTCTATGGACCAGCCGCTGCGGGTGGCCAAGCACTGCATGGAAAAGTCATAGATGAGATATGAGATGATCAGCAGCAGCAGCAAGTGTCGTAGTAAGACCAGCAAAAGGCAGAGCAGAGCGATCTGCATCGACTCTGAACAGCGTGGGGACCCCGGCCCATGAGCTGGGAGGACTGGAACACAGTGCGAAGGAGAATTTAGAAGACGGCAACGACTGAACGAAGTAAATGATGCCAGCGACGAGAGTAATATACTCCAGCCTAGCTGGGAATTCCACAGGTAGTCGTCAGAAGCCTGTCTGGTTGGAAAACCCCAGCACACGAGTACGCGCAAGGGCCATGCTATGCTGTTGGAGCATCAGCAAAACTCTACAAGGTAAAACCGCGAGCCTTATAATACCTAAGTATGAAAATACTGTCGGTGCTCTGCGATGAGATTGCACCAGATGGTGCCAAATCACCTTTTCCTACCATCCTGCTTTCCTCTCGTTTATCAAGTCGTCGCTATGTCAGTCCAATCCAATCCAATCCAATCTTACCTTGATCATCTTTCTTGTCGAAAAAGTATCATTATCAAGATGGGAAGTGTGCCTTTGGGTCAAGCAAGTACGCAAGTGAATAAGCAAGCCATGCCATGCCAAAGAGCGAATTCGCTGGACACCTACTAGCTGCCGTCTATTCATAGGCGACGCCTACCTGACCTACCTAGGTACATGGTACTTACCAGACGGAGGAGGGACAAGAACATAAACACGCAAAGTCGAGTTACAAGATTGGTTGCTCTTCAATTTTTCAGAAAAGGAAAGAAAAAAAAAACATTCGGAGCCGAATCTGTGAATGGTTCCAAACTCTTTCTCTCTCTTCTCTCTCATGGTGAAACTTTTTGTTTTGTTTTGTTTTATTTTATTTTTTACTTATTTTTGGAAAAGAAAAAGGATATAGGTATGTAGAGTTCACTCGACAGAGACCAGAAATCTTTTTCTATTGATTTATTTTTGCCCCAAGTCTCTCATTCTAAGCTCCCGCATAAGGCACCGCCGCCACGGAAGAAATATCAATATATCCATACTTGGCCTTGTCCACATCCTGCGCCAGCCCTTGCGCCCACGCACTCATATCCTTCATGAACGCTTCGACATTCTTCTCCTCGGACAGATCAATCGGCTGCTGATCTTTTCCAATCTGGCGAATTTGCGTCCCCGCCGCCACGTTGGTGATGCCGAAGTTGTCCTGATCGACTTTTTGCTCAATGGCGCCTGTGACTTTGCCGGACAGAATATCTCGGGCGAGAAGAGGTTCTTGACAGACGGGGCGGGCGAGGCCGACACCATCGACGACGTCGAGGGCGCTGACCATGCCTGAGACGGTTTTGAAGCCCCCGGTGACGTAGGTTTTGGTTTTGGTCAGCGAGGGGACGATTTGCTCGGCAAATTCGAGGAAGAAGCTTTCTCGCTTCTTGGTGCTCTCGCGTTGATGCGCAAAGGCGAGTTTCTCGTACGTGCCGCCGGAGAGTTCGATGAAGTCGAACTTGTTCTGCTCGAGCAATGTGGAAATCTCCTTGGCCTCTTCGGGAGAGAAGCCTTTTTCTTGAAACTCGACCGAGTTTAGCTTGATGCCGACGATGAAGGAAGGTGATGTGCGCTTCCGAATCTCCTGGGCGATTTCGAGAATGAGGCGAGCGCGGTTCGTCAATGAACCGCCGTACTTGTCAGTCCTTTGGTTCGTCGTTTGGGAAAGGAATTGTGCCAAGAGGTAGCCGTGTGCACCGTGTAACTCGATGCCATCCCAGCCTGCCTTTTCCAAGTATTCAGCTTGGTGACTGAAGCCTTCGATGATGTTCTTGATGTCCTCGTCGGTGGCAGCTCGTGGTTTGCCGAACTTCATGCCCATGACATCACCTTCCAACTGCACGGTGGATGCAGAGATGGGATGTGGCTGAATGTCCTCGGATACTTGTCGACCGGGATGGGAGATTTGGCCCACCATCAAGCAGCCGTGTTTCTTTCCTTCAGTGGCCATTTCAGTGAAGCGCTCGAAGCGCTCACCCTCGTAAGGAGCTCCTCTGGGTATAATGGGGTTACCTCTGGCCTCAAGATGGTCATACTCGAACATGATATTGCCCGAGAGAATCACACCCAATGAGCCTTCGCCCCATCTCTTGTAGACATTGACCAAATTCTTGCTGGGGATTCCTCGTGCTTCAAGATTCTGGGGATCCCAAGATGAAATTCTCTCGGTCATTGCGCCTTTCAGGAAACGGTTGGGCGCAGTCCTGCCGCTGAATTCGAACTTCAACGGCCTTCCTAGAGGCGAGGCGTCGACATTATCGGACTGATATCGCGATGGTGCCATGGTGATAGTGGTGGTGATGATGTTCCTGGTATTTGTAGTGGCACTAATGGCTGCAAAAGAACGCTGAAGCTGCAGTGGTGATGATGGAGTGTCGAAGAGAAGGGTACTACATGTAAGGTAGATGGGTGTGTAGACTGTCTATTATGACAACCAAAAGTCACACCATAGGTACATGTACGTCGGTTTACACGTGCTGCTTAGAAATGCATAGCAAAGGGTCTTGACAGTGGAGCAGATTCAATGTCAAGCAACGTCACTTTGAACCGTTCAGGCGCGCCGGCAATCAACCTTGACGATCGCATTACAAAGTCCCGCAGTCTTGGAAGCGGCCAGGTGCGAGCTTCCGCCGATATATCGAAGCAAAATGTGAGGCGAACACCACAAGTTGATTGCCGAGGTTTCGCTCTCTTCAAGAATGCGAATACTTTTGCTGTCATTGGACGAGGCCAGGGCCACGATCGATCGAACATGTCGTTGACAGAAGTCTCACAACTGCATGTAAATCAACGTGACGGAGCACTTAGCTTACCAGTCGCAAGCACTTGCTGAGAAACTCGTTAGTACACCAAGCCACGTCCCCATTGTCATGTGTCATCACCGTTGTCGTTGAGCGAGAGGAGCATATGTTGCCTTACCGAGCAGTTGGGCAAGTTCTTCCAACTTTGCCTGATCTTCCTCATCAAATCCGTTCTCGACCGCACAGTCGATATCGATAATAGCAACGACCTGCCCCATTTAATATTATTAAACTGAGAGTACTGAGCACGTGGGTTACTCACCTTCCCATCCTTCACGATGGGTACAACAATTTCGCTTCGACTGGCTCCATCGCAGGCGATGTGACCTGGAAACTTCTCAGTATCAGGCACAAGCTGCGTCTGCTGAGTTGCAGCCGCGACTCCACAAACGCCTTTGCCGAATCGAATGGTCTGACACGCAACCTACGCGGGTCATCAGTGGGCTGAGCTGGCAAAGCGCGCAGCTGAGGGACGACTCACTTTGCCGTGAAAGGGACCTAAGATCAATTGATCGCTCGTCGAGGCTTGATCAGTTTTGTAGAAACCAGACCAGTTCACCTGATTACTCGGCGGCGGCAGCGCGTGATAGGCATGCCAGAGAAGAGAAGCTGTATTGGCGGTATTGCTAGAAGCTGCTTTTAGTTAGAGACCCAGAATCGCCGGCGTGAGCTTGAACGAACCACACCTGGGACAGTTAGCTTATGAGTCACATCGCAGCACATGCTACACTATAATATACCCAGTTGCGTTGCCCATCAAACAGCGCGGCTGCTTGTTCGATAACTTGGTTGTATGCCTCCGTCTTGCTTACGCCTTCGGCGAAATTGGCGGAGTCGGCGTGTACCTTGTGCATGGTGAATTAGAACGAAGAGCGCGCGAGAAGCTCACGGGGGCAAATATCCTATTCACCATAGTGCAAAATCTCAGTGGGAGGGACGTATTGATGGCTCTGGCGAGAAGGAAGTTTTCCAGTGTCACGAAAGATCCTCCATGATGGATTCAATTTCTTGGCGGATAGATCCGCGACCATTTGGCTATAATAACAACTTAACAAGACTTTTGACAGGCTTACGGTGCCTGACGAGGGCGGGGATCAGCAACAGACCACGGTACCCTGACGAAGGAATTGACATTGTTCAAAGTAGCTGCGTTGAGTCGTCAAGGAGAGATCGGCTTCACTGAGTCACTGTACAGTACAGTGTGTACAGTGTTGCCCATGCTAATCATCACGTCGTTCGGACCGCTGAAGCTTACTTTGACCACCCACCATACCACAACCTTCTGCAATCACATATCATCCACATTCAGTGACTCTACTAATCGAAGATCCCCGGATGTCGCTAGCACAGGCGAAGTAGCCAAGGACGTTGAGAGCAAGACGGCAATGCATAAGTTACAAGGTATCAAGCACATTGAGCATGAATGCGTCATGTACGAAGGCGTAAATCATGGCTGTCCTGTGACTGACCCTCTTATGCTTATGCTTCTCCTTCTCACTTGCTGTGCAATTGCTGGCTGAATCGGGGAGAACGATGCCGAGCACGAGGCATCTCCAAGCCAGGAAGCAGAAGCCCTGGCTCTCCGCTGCTGCACCAGATGGGTTGCGAACCCTCCTTAAGCACCTGCCGCGAGATGAGTGCTTCATTCCAGTTGCCTTGCGGACGTTTTCTCCTGTATGTAGAGCAGTCGCAGACGGTAGATGAGGGCGTAGTAGTCGTCGACGCCAGCACGGTCTTTTGATATACTGGACGTCATGTCTCTCAGCTTCTCGATCAGATAGCTCGCATCGCGTGCAAGATCCGGCGGTCTTCGTAGCACAGTAATCCACGTCCAGTTCGGGTCTACCTGCCAAGGATCGTGCTTCTTGCGGCGGTCGATCGACACGGCCAGAGCGCCCTGCAAGTGAGCATTCGCCGGCGGAATATATCTGACCCATAGAGTAATGTGTCTGATGTGTTCCAAATGCAACTCGTTGCACCGCAGCCACGTGCGCACGTCTTGGGCTTTGGCGTCCTCGGTGTGGAAGATGAAGCGGTTGCGCTCGTACCAGATCTACACCGGCCCATGGGCATGATCAGTTGCTGCTCTCTCTCTCCCTCTCTCCCGCTCTCTCTCTACCTCTATCTCTTTCTCGCTCTCCCTTCCTCGCATAATGCCAGGTCATCAGAGATGCACCCATGAAGGGCATCTGCGTCGGTCGTGGGACATCGTACCGGAAGACTCTCAGACCGAATCTGTCGACTCACGCGTGCCAACGCCGGCTGCGTCGAATAAGAGTAGTACTCGCGCTGAAAGGCATCGAGACGGAAGGTGACGAGAGTCTGGTCGGCTTCAGTGAGCACATGCTCCCACACGAGCTCCCGGATCTCCAGCGGGAGCGTGAGCAGCCGCGCGAGCGACATGGACTAGAAGAGGTGGTATCTCGTCGTGCTCTTACTCTTGCTCTGGCGCCAGTGGCTCTTGCTCTTGCTCTTGCTCGTCATGTAGGTAGTTCTACCAGTAGTAAGTAGGAGGAAGGTATGCACATACAGTGTCCGAACGGAGGAATGAAGACATCGCATCGACCTGCTGTAGGCATGACGTCGCCGCGACTTCGGACGCCTTCACTTCCGATCACTTCCATGCCCTTGTCCGCCCAGACCTGCTTCCTCTTGTGCATACTGCATCCTCTTGCGCTGCCCCGTCCACCCCTCCTCCGCTCGCCGATTATTCATACCGCCATGGCCGATGTGGACGTCTCCGCCTTCGCCAGTGCCCAGCTCTCCTTGCTAGACGACGAGCTGCAGGCAGAACTGGCAGAGACGCAGCTCTTGACGTCCACTCTCGCGCCAGCCAAGCTCCAACGCGCCGGGCTCGCCGTCCTGAACTTGACTGTGTCGTCGCAGCGCACAGGCTTCGGCGGCAAGACTTTGCTGGAACTGGGCATTGATCCCGCCGTAGCTACCGATGGCGATGCGCTGCCCGAGCATGGCCTGCGCGTCGGTGATATCTGCGCCGTCTCTGAGCAGCCCAAGGGCGCCGAGAAGAAGAAGGAACGAGAGGGCATGGAGCAGAGGGGTGCCGAAGGGGTTGTCACGCGAACGAGCAAGACGGCCATTACCATTGCATTGAACAAAGAGGACGCAGACGTGCCGTCTTATGGCAAGCTCTGGCTGTAGGTACTCCTCGAGCACCACGGTAAGTACTGCTTTCTTACGCTGATAGTAATGCCTCTGGTGCAGTGTCAAGCTCGCCAACGATGTGACATGGAGACGTTTGAACCAGACCATGGTGCGGTTGATGCAATCTACAGAGCACAGCCCGCTTACCCGAGTTCTTTTCGGTCAAGCACCTACACCTGTATCTGCGAGCGCCTTGAAAGAAGATCTTCGTTGGCACCACTCCACGCTGAATGCCTCTCAGCAGGACGCCGTACGCTATGCTCTGGCCTCTCGTGAAATCGCTCTGATTCACGGGCCTCCTGGAACCGGAAAGACCCTAACCGTAATCGAGCTTATCCTTCAGCTGCTTGACCAAAAACAGCGTGTATTAGTGTGCGGGCCGAGCAATATCAGCGTGGACAATATCGTTGAGCGCCTAGCATCGCGCAAGGTCTCAATGGTAAGATTGGGCCATCCTGCACGACTGCTACCCGCTGTGCTCGCTCACAGCATGGAAGTCATATCGCGGACCAGCGATGCGGCTGCAATTGTCGCTGATATCAGATCTGAAATGGACACGAAGCAGGCGTCAATCCGTAAGACCAAGAGTGGGCGCGAACGTAAGCTGATCTACGGTGAGATGAAAGAGTTACGCAAGGAATACAGAGACCGTGAAGGACGAGTCGTCAGCGAGATTCTCAGAGGCTGTGATGTTGTTCTGTCTACACTGCACGGTGCTGGCAGCCATCAGCTGAAGAATGAAAAGTTCGACGTGGTAATCGTTGACGAAGCGTCCCAAGCTTTGGAAGCACAGTGCTGGATTCCGATTCTGGGGGTTAGACCGTCGAAACTCGTGCTCGCTGGGTAAGTCTCCTACGCCACCAGGACGCACACACTCGCTGTCAGACACATGACGAGTAATGAGAAGGTTCTCATGGCTTGTGTGCTAAAAGTTTGTTAGTGATCACCTTCAACTACCACCAACTATCAAGTCATTGAATAGTGTCAAGAAAGGTACCGAACCCCGGAACAAGGATGTCGGAAGAGTTGAAAAGGACATTGCTGGCCTCAGCCTTGAAGAGCAGAAGGCAGGCGCAAGTGCCAAGAAGAAAGCCAGCAAGGATGCGATCACGCTGGAAATCACCCTCTTTGATCGTCTGCTCAAGCTGCACGGAGATGACATCAAGAGGATGCTAACCACGCAGTACCGAATGCATGAAGCGATCATGAATTTTCCATCCGAGGCTATGTATGGCGGCCATTTGGCGGCCGCTGAAGCAGTAAGGACTCGCTTACTCAAGGACCTTCCTTACGAAGTCAACGAGGTCGAAAACACGACTGAGCCATTGGTCTTCTACGATACTCAAGGCGGTGACTTTGTAGAGAAAACGGAGGACGAAGACAATGCCAAAGGCAAATCTAGCGTCCTTGCTGAGAGTAAAGTAAACGAGGCGGAGGCTCTCATCGTTCGCGACCATGTTAGCAGTCTGGTGACAGCAGGCGTGAAAGCCGAAGACATTGCAGTGATTACACCCTACAACGGTCAGCTCGCAATGCTCTCTAGTATGCTGAAGGAGCGCTTCCCTGGACTCGAACTGGGCAGTATCGACGGATTTCAGGGTGAGTATATATCTCTTGTCTGTTCATGGTGTAGTTGTGATGGCTTACGACCGAACAGGCAGAGAGAAAGAGGCTGTAGTGGTCAGTCTCGTCCGCAGTAATCCGGAGCATGAAGTTGGCTTTCTAAGTGAGAAGCGTCGGCTCAATGGTGAGTGTTCACTGCTAGTAGATGTTCCCTTTAGGTTCTCTCTCTCTCTCTCTCCCTCTCTCCCTCTCTCGTTTTACTTTCTCGCACACGAGAGAACTAATGGTGACCGTTAGTGGCAATGACTCGACCAAAACGACAATTGTGCGTGATCGGAGATTCAGAGACTATCAGCAGGTGAGGATCATCCATTTATTGCTCATGTTGGACACGGAATCCAAGCAACATCTCACACGACTTCGCACAACTCCGCACCCCCGCGGCCTCGTCTAACGCGAGTCGCATGCGCCAAGGCTTGGTGTCCATCGTGTAAGCACTGACGCTGCAATAGAGGTTCACAGTATTTGAAGGCGTGGATGTCACATCTCGAGGAGCATGCCGATTTGCGATATCCCGACCTTTCCGATCTTTCGCAGCGCTGAAATTGGGGGACAGGGAAGGGTTGGGCGTCGAAGTGCCGGCTAGTAATACCACCAGGACACAATGAAATGTCGCTCAAGTCGATCATGCGCACGAGCACAGGAGCAGGACAGGTTAGTAGGACTAGGAGGTAGCGCCCCAATCCGTTTCATCAAGACCGCAACTGCATATGCATCTAGGAGGGACTCCTGCAGGATTCAGGATGCATGCATAGTGCGGGCGGGTTCTTGACTCGGCTCTCTGCAGAATCTGCACGGCTGCTCGCTCACAGCGGCTAGCTGGGAGGTAGGCGAAAGGCAAAGTGCACATTATGTAATTAAGTGCCGAGAAAATTCCAAACAGCAGAAGGGTGCAAGTGCATGAAGCCGTCGCTGATGGTGTTGGTCGAATCATGACTACAAACGAGCCTGATGATGATGATGGGAAGATCCGTACCACCTTAGGTATATGTAGGCAGGATCCGTAGTCGGCGCGTGTGCTCCGTGCTCGTTGGTTGTTCAGTACTACCTCCTAGTACCCAGCTCCATGTTGTTGTTGTTGGTGTTGTATAAATAAGTACCTGCCTTACCTAAGGTAGGTAACCATCGATGCCATGCACGGGGAGAGTGGTCAAGAGAGCACTTTTCCTCCATGTTTCCAGGCTGACAGTCCAGCCAGCAGCTCCCCATGGGCCAGTATTGATTATCCCCGAGCGTTCCTAGACGACCAGTGGGGCCGGCAGCAGCGATTATTGCGCAATCGAGAGTTCTAGCTTCCTTGCTGTGGGTACAGGACATGGAGATGAGAGAGAAGCTGCATTCTCCTCGCCAACGTAGCCGAGAGGACCTCCGCCCCCTACCTTACATGTATAGGTATGTAGTCATGTACTTGATCTGAGGTAATATGTGGAGTAGGAGAAGTCATATGTCGCTTGTTGCGACATCCATAGGTACACCGTACATGTACACATCACCTAGGCGACCTTCTCAATGGATGGATGCACGTGGGGTAGTGGAAATATGATGATAACGGAAGAGAAGTATATGTATTATTATAGCGCGCGCGGACATGGATTGCTGGACTCGTTCGCAGCATTAAAATAAACACATGCGCATGCGGCAATAGTAAGCGCTGTGAGCGCTGCTTGGAAGCACATCCGTGCACTATTAAGCTTTCATACTAGCGAAGCGGGCAAACACATGGCTCTGGCCGTTTGCTTGACAATGATGAGACGCACACCCGACTGTCCGCATTTGTAGCAGGAACGTGTAGGTACCTCCTAGGTCAGGTCAGGTCAGACCAGGCCAGGCCACGCTACGCTCAGGTACGTAGCGCCATCAGCAACCCAACATCCGTCTCATACGTGACCACTACTACTACCACTACTACCACCACCACCACCACTACCACCACTACCACCACCACTACGTGTACCGTGTACTGATTTACATGTACCTCCTACCTCCTACCTACCTCCCCTTCTCTCCTGAGCGTCGCTGCAAGTGGCAAGGGATGCTGCCCTGAAGTCTATCTCCCTTCTTGACTCCCTCCCTCTCCCATTGCAGCCCTCCCTCCCTCCCTCCCTCCATGCCTCCCTGTCTCTCTGCCTCGCCTCCTCCCTCCTCCGTCTCCCTCTCCGTCGCCCTCTCCGTCTCCCTCTGCGACTGGGACTGCCTCCCCGCCAGTCCGTCGCTACACCCATGGAAGTCCGGCGGAGCCATGAAGCGAGTCGACGGCTGCACAAGCAAAGGTCAAACCACGGCATGCGTGCTGCCAGCCACGGCCAGCCATTCGCCATCATGTCCAGCGCGGGCGGCAATCCAAACCCGATCGCATTGAGAGCCAGCGTCACGCCCAGCGGCGTCTTCGGCGATGGCTCCAAGGCTCGCAAGGGCTCTATACGCAGTGCTGTGCGCAAGATCTTTGGGCGTCGTTCGCGAGACTCCATGGGCCCCATCATGTCTGCGGACGCGGAAACATATGCTTTCGTGCCGGGCCCGCGACATGCATACCACAAGAGCGAGCCGCCGCCGCCGCTGTCACCGCCGCGCGAGCTGTCTGAGCCGTCACACGTCGCCGACGACAACAACGACAATGAGCACGACAAAGACAACGATGAACTGGGCGTCCGGATCCCCTCCACGTCCTACTACCCGCCGGAGCGACCAAGCTTCAGCCGAACGACTTCCCCCTATGCACTGCAGTTCCCAAACAGCGTGCGACTCAAGCCCATGGATCTGAGCAACCACTTCGCCTCTCCTCCCACTGTGCTCAAACGCCGCAAAACCCTTCCGAGCTTGCTGCAAGAACAAGGTGGTACGACTGCGGATGGCCAGCCTTCGGAGCCCATCACACATACAGAACCGGTGCCAAGTCTGGGGAAAGCGGGCGAAGAGGGCGCCTCCAAGAGCAGGGCAGACAAAGTCAGAAAGGATAGACGGAAATCGAGAAGTGTAGACGACTTGCAAGCTTCCACGACCAGGGAACAGAGTGTTCCCAGAAAGCGAAGTGAAGAGATTCGATTTTGGAGAGACGGACAGTCCCGATCGAGAGATCGAGCTGCTGCCATAGGGCGCCCGGATGTGTCGAGAGAAGGCGAGAGACCGACGACTGTGTACGAGCAAGAGACCCACCCCGGAGCATCAGCACTGCTTTCTGCACCGCACGACGTTCCCTCGAAGCCTGCTACTCTGAAGAGCAGTCCTCCTCATCCTCGTGGCGCCGGGACTTCTTTCAACGACGACTTCCTACGGCCCTCGTCGGGTGTGGGCACCGACATGTCGAGAGATCTGGAAGATCGCGTTGCAAAACTGGAAGCGGGTCTTCACAGCTTCCAGCAGTCATTACAGAAGCTCACGGCGGATCGAAATCGTAGGACCATAGTGATGGGTGGCGGTATCGCCACCAGGAGCAATTCTGGCGAGGAGCGGAGGCCAAGCTTGTTGGCCGATACGCTTGCCGATGCACTGGAGCCATCGAGCTACGAATATGAGTATGGACATACGATACGTCCCTCTGCCTCGCCCCAACCACCACTCCCCGCAGCGATACAGGGTCGTATCGAGGATCCCTTTGGACCGGACCTCCCAATACCAGCCTCATCTGCAACTCGCGCCGGACCACGGAATAGCCACGCCCTCACTTCATCACGATCAGCGGACCTAAGATTAGAGCCCGAGAGACCGCCTACTCCTCACACTACCTCGGCCACCATGGCCGCAGTCACGCCGGGTACCAATGGGTCCAATGGTGCCGCACAACCTCAGCAATACACCTTTCGTTCATTGTACGAAATGCTCGCAGACGAGCGCTCAGCACGAAGGAAGCTCGAAAACCAGCTCAAAACACTGCGACAAGAAATCACGGATTTGCACACGCAGGTCAACAGTTCGAGCTCGAACATTCAAAGCATGAGAAGCAGTTATATGCTCGCGGGCACATCGAGTCGGCTCCAAGATCTCCTACGCGAAACAGGAGAGGCGAGCCCGCCCGATGCTTCGCCGCGATCCCTCAAGCGAAACTCGGGTCAATCGACAGGGTACGCACACGCAATCAGTCGTTTCAGCGGGTCCGACAGTGAGGCCATGACACAGGACTTTTCTCAGGAGTATGAGGATCTCGGCACTCCTTATACAGCCTACAGAACCCCGCGTGAGGAGCGTAGTAAATGGAGTTTGAAGTTGGACGTTGATAACAAAGACGCTGACGTATTCTGAACACCACCACCACCACCACCACCACCACCGCCAAGACCTATTTACTAGATGTACTTACTACATACCTACGAATAATCGTAGGTGACGTGACGCATGATTTCTTTGCATGAGAGAAGGGGGTGGCCATGGTTTACGGGATTCTCTTCTTTTTTATTTTCTCAAGGCGTATCTTCAATATACCCCCAAGGTTTCCCTTGTGTATCTATTTACTTTTTTTTTCCTTTGCATGTACTTTAGTTTCCATCACCGCGGTGGTGACCATGCTCGAGCTCCACCGAGACTCGGCCTCACATGTCACGCTCGTATCGAACAAACCATAACTACATGTACCTACCTACTTGTACTGGAATTGCGATTCTCGATGGGGAAAAAGCAGTAACATGGTTCTCGTGTGCTCCAACGAATACCTTCGTCCTTCCTCACCGTGACTCTCTGATGAATGGCAGCGAGTTATATATAGAACATGCTCCGTGCTCAAACTGGTGGGTGCTATTGATGCAGGTCATCAAGCAATGGAGTGAGTGCATCCAGACGTGAGCACGGCGAGGGCAAGGGCAATGAATCATATTGGGGCGCAACACTGGTCACGCACCTGAGCATCCTCTGTGCGTGCGTGCTCGTCATCCACGCATTTGACATTTCTTCGGACTTGTCGTCCATGCTACTACTACCTTGACTTTTTAGCGTCTTCGTCTTCGGAAAGCCCTGGGATCATCATCCTCGCTCAACTCCGCTGCAGCGGGCGTGGCAGTTCTACTGCTGTAGGAAGTGGTGATGGTCTGTCTCGCCTTTTTCGTCGCAGGCGCCGCCAGCCCAGTCGTGGCAGGTCTCTTTCCTGTAGCCTTCTTCTGCGTCTCCGTACCAAGTGTAGACTGGCTCGTCGACTTGGACGTACTCTCCGATCCTTGCGGAGCATCGAACATCTTGTTCGATCGAGCCTCGTCTTCGTCCATCTCTCGACTACTTTGCAGACGCCGACGAAAGACGGTGCGTTCGTCTTCGTCATCAACCGCGCGGGCACTACCCTCGCCGTGGCTGGCTGAAGTGCCGACCAGTGATGTGCCATCGCGACCTTGCGCGATGCGGGCTTGGGAATCTGTTCGAGACTTGGACTGGTCGCTATTCTGTTTGACTTTGCGTGGGTTCACGTCGCCATGTTCAAGCCAGTACTCCTCTCCCAGTCCACTGTTACGCGATGATCTGTCCTCAAGAACGATAATATGGCGTCGCGGATCATCACCGGACGCCTCCACGATATTCTCTTGGCCATTGGGCTTCTTCTTTTTGAACTTTTTGTAATTTGGTCGACCAGCCCATGTAGGGTTCTCGCTGACGGTGATGGATGGCTGCCACTCCCGTACAGGCAAGTCAAACTTAGGAAACCTATCCGGATATTCGTCAGGATTACCAAATGTTGGCAGCTCTTCTTCTTTAATGCCTTTTCGCAGATCTTCCTCATCTAGTCGGTGCTCTTCTTCTTGTGCCTCTCTTTTAGCGAGCATCTTCGCTCGGAGGTTGTCAACCTCCTTCTTCCCTCTCTTGGCTTTGCTTTCGGTCTTGCCGGCCTTCGGCTCATCCTTCCTGATGGGCACCTCTGGTGCTGGAGTCGTCTCTGGTCGGGACGCGGCTGCCTTGTTGGCTTCTTCTGTCTTGCGACGCTTCAAGGCTGCCTGACCAGGGAACATGCGTTCATGTCTCTGCTCTGCAGTCTCCCGTACTGGCTCATCTTCTACGGCTGGGGCGGACCGCTTCTGTGGAACGCTTGTGGGAAAATGCAGACGTGTCGCATCCACATCACTACCCTGTGCGCCGGGCGCCTGACTGTGGCTTGGCTGTGGTATCGATGGTTCTGGTGATTTCGAAGCTATATGCACTATTGCGCTGGGGTCAAAGTCGTCAAAGCGGATCTTTTGTGTTACGAATCTACGTCTCTTCTTAGCAGGTGGTGGCGCTAGCACATCTTCCGCCTGCTGCGTAGTGCATTCCTGTGCAGGCTCGATGCTTCGAGTTGGCTGTGCTACCTCTTCCGCGGAGGGCGCTGTTTGCGGCATTGCAGAAATGCCTGATGGAGCTGGGATGGAGCTCGTCACCGGCCAGTCACTTGCACTGCCAGGACGAGCGGCTCCACTCACACCCATGGGCGGGGATTGTGGTGGCTGGCGTAGCAGACTTGTATCCTTAGAAAGAATGATGTCCAGTAGCTCGGTCTGCTCAATCGATCTTTGGTCAAGTATGCTGTCCAACTCGACGTGAAAATCACGAAGCTTCTCCACATCCTTCACGCGTACTGTAACAATGCCACCAGGCCCTGGCTCTCCGCTAAGCGACAAATTGAGTGCATCTTTCTTGCCAGCAAGCTCCTTCACATAATCGACAACGGACTCGATGGAAGTCTCGCCAGCCTGAAATTCACAGCAAAACGTTTTGCCGCCCGCAGCGTTGATGACAGGCGTCAAAGTGGAATGCTGCGAGCGATCCATAAACACGAATATGTAGTCTCTAAATAGCTCCGCGCGGGCAGTATCAGGCTTGAGCCAGCTATCGTCTCGCGCTACGGGCTCGGTGCTGCTCGGACATATGCAGTCCTCCTCTCGCGGCCAGTGCCTGGTAAAGTCCTGCTCGAGAAGGCTTGGTCGCGGTATGCCGTCTTGGTCCTTGCCATCCTGCTTGCAGGCTGCTGCCAGTGCCTCCACGAAAGACACTGTCACCACCCACGACCCTTGCACCAAAGCATGTAGAACGGCGCCTGTATTCCGCTTTTTCGCAATTGTGTGCGTGGTGTGGTGTGCAACGTAGTCCGGTGCAAGCTTGATATCACAGCCCGCAAACGTGGCGCGCTCTGCAGACAATGCTGTCCCGTTGGCTTTCGCGGTCCTCGAGACGCCAGCGGTGAAGCCAATCAGAATGGGCCGCCACTCAAGGACGAGTGTGGTGTCTGAACCGCCAAGTCTGAAGGAGTGTTTCGTCCCAGACAGCGTCCTGGTCTGATCATCGGCAGGAAGCCGCTGTTCATCGAGCCATGTCCCCGTCTTTCCCTCGCCAACGATGGTGATACTGCTCTTGCTACAGGGGTCTGTACTGTCACTCGCGTCGCCCACAATGAACCAGAGGTGCTTACGCGACACGGACTTGTCCGAGATGTAGTGGTGTCGCTCCACGCCCTCCGGTTTGGTCGTCGCTCTCCCAAAGAGATGTTTCGAGCCAGGACGCAGCCAAATCGAGCGGTCGTTCCACGACAGCACCCACATCACCGTGCTCGTCCTTGTCGTCGTGGTCGTGGTCGTCGTGATCGTCGTTGTTGTTATTGGTGTCGTTGGTTGGTGGTGGTGACTGGTGGACTCGGAAGTCGCGTAAAGATCGCAAGGCAGAAGCGCGCTCTCGTGATTGGAAGGAGGCTCTTCCAGTATGTGTTCGGCGCCGAAATGACATATATTCACTCACTAATTTACATGTACCTGTAGGTAGGAGGTACGACTAGTTACTAGAGTCTGGAGGTACATGTACATGACAACAGGGGCCCAACAAGTCCTCCAGCAGCGTCCAAGCCAAAATTCGACAATTTGGTTTTCCATGAGGTATGAGTTTGCATGCATGCGTCGTAAAGGCACAGCACTACCCCCCCAGCTAGCAGTAGATACACCGCATGATTGCACCGTAAAGTACTGTGGTATCATATATGCCAGCTATCAGACTTCTGGTTCTCTCTCGTCTCAATTGAAGATAACTGCGTGATTCAAGCTTGTTGTACAATGAACGGCCGTCTCCCTGTCTTCTCATCTCACTTTCGAAGGTAAAATGTGTGATAATGCTCCGAACATGCCACTGTCTGACTATTCAGTTCAGCCACGAGGGGATGGAACAGAATACGACTACGTGTGCTCGACGTATCTTGACGCTTGCAATTGTACAGGGAGCCGGGACATTGTCGTAGTATTCTAAACTGAACACTCTCGAGCTCGACCTTGTAGTCGGAAATTGTTCTCGTTGAAGGTCCAGATCCCTGGCCAGAGCGGCCGCGGATGTCTCGCTGCAAGCAAAAAGGCCAAGCATCTCATTCGCGACTCGACACCAGCGAGCTCGCCAGCTGGGCATCAGAACGTTGGAATCTTGATCAAAAAAAGTCAAGGAGGTTGAACAATATCCTGTGATGGCTCTAAACTGATCAGGGCTTGCGGTAATTCAAACGAGAACCAACGAGAAGATACGAATTTTATCGTAGAAATCACTTAGAAAGCCTCAAGACAGTAGGGAGCTAACTGTTTTGCTATGAACAACATTGAGTGAACACGGTGAGCGAGAACGAGCAACAGTCGATCTGGCGTGCGAAAAGTAAGGTATCGCAGATTGGACAATTCCCGGGCTGGAGGATCGAGTAATAAGCCGCATTTGATCACTCGGGCGGCATGCGACCATTTTCATCTGACCGTGTCCAATTGTCTGAGCATATTCATTGCATTACCCACTGTCGCCACCATGCTAACAGCAGTGTCATGTTCAGGTTGTCACAAGAGGCTGGGAAGACACCAATAGAAGGTCGACCAGCTGGAGGGCGAAATATCGTTGCGTTCGGGGACAACTTGCACAATGCGACCTCATTGCCTGACCTGTAATTAACGCCGTGCTGGATGCTCGACAAAGTAGTAATATACCAAGCAAATTACCAGCTAGCAAGCACATCCCTCTTTTTGACCATCTTCACCACGCGTATTGAGATTCACACTGCTATTGTTCTGAGTGCCGCTGATAGCAGCTTGTGTGCCGGTTCCAGCACCTGCGCGTGGACCTTTGAGGCTGGTCTCAGGGATCGCATTAGCGATGGCTGTGAAGACCTCGCTCACGTTGTGACCAGTTTTAGCGCTAGTTTCGAAGAACAGCAGGCTCTCCTCGTCGGCATATGCTTTAGCCTCCTTTGAGCTGACCTTACGCACAGCGCCAGTATCCTCCTCCTCGGCATTCTCGGATTCCTGCTGCTCGCCCTCAGGCGCGTCGTCTTCACACAGATCCAACTTGTTGCCGACGAGTGCAATGACAATGCCTGGCGAAGCCTGGCGCTGCAACTCGGCGACCCAATGCCTTGCCTTGACTAGACTGCTGGGTTTTGTGATGTCGTAGACGACCAGTGCAGACTGAGCGTTTCGGTAATACATGGGCGCCAGGCTGGCGAATCGTTCTTGACCCGCCGTGTCCCAGATCTCGAATTTGATGGTCCTGTTTGGCAGCTGGCACTTTTGTGTGAGGAACGCGGCGCCGATGGTGGGCTCCTTATTGGGCTGGAAGTCGTTGTTGACGAAGCGCAGTACGAGAGAGGACTGCAGGCAGCCACATTGTCAGCCATGTCGCAACGTGCCATGCTATACGCCAGCGGCATCATGTTGCGTGCGCATGTAGGGTGGAACACAGAAAAAATGCCACTCACTTTGCCCACGGCGGCTTCTCCGAGCAGCACAAGCTTGACGCTGCTGCTCGGCTTCGGTGCGTCGGCCATGGATTCGGTATTGGAGGGAGAAGAAGCCCGGTTGGCGCGCAGGCTCCTCCCGACGTTGTAGTCGCTCGTTTTGGCGGAGATCGGGTTCGTAGTCGGGAAGACGGATGGCGCGGACTTTTGCGTTGGTGGCGGTGATGGTGATGGTGATGATGGACGGGTGTTGCGACAGTCGTCTGGTGATGATGCTATGGCACTGGTCGAGCTTGAAGTTGGTGATCACGCCCCTAGCTTCCGACCCACGCCGAGCTCCCTTCACTGGAACTGTTCCATAGAACTACATGTAAGTTGGTAACTACATGTATGTCACCAGAAATGCTACTTCTGCAGAGCTTCGCCGTGCACTCTTGCACGACTGACATGATGGGTGGAGCATGGAAGAATTACATGTTCTGTATTTCCCGTTAGATCGCAGCCTTCTTTGTTCCGGCAACAGCAAGGTAGATACGACAGCAGAGATGCCTATGTACTGGCTAGATCGTCGGCCTCACTACCTCCTACCTCCTACTGTGGCCTAGAAGCTCGGCAATCCGTCACTACCTTAGGTAACGAGTATCAAATGCTTTCAACACATGAACCGCGATTATGAGATGTGACGGCTACGTAGGTATGCAGCGTCTTCATGCCGACTCAACTTGCACACGCAACTCGCCCGTGAAGAAGCTTAGAAGTTGTAGCAAGTCTCAGCTTGACAGCACTTTGACCCATCATCGTAGAGTCTAGTTCACTCTATAGTATGAACAGTAACGCTCCTCCCTCTAGCCAGGACCAGCCTCATCAAGCTTGTCAATAATCCCGCCATATGCTGTGTACCAGAAGACACGCGCCACATGAAACACCTCGGGTAGCAACACGCGTCGCGATAATGAAAAAGGGTCAATGGGCCCTTTGCTCATGGATTGCTCCGTAGCACAAGCTGCTGGAGGTCCCGACATACGTGATCTTCCTGAAGGTCGTGGCTGTGATGCATGGGCTCAGTATCGGCAGACTGTCATCGTGCCTTATTATATCACCTACCAGTGGAGGGTCATGTTCTCGCCTTGAGGTACCTTGTATGTGTACATGTGATTGCCCGAACATCGTCATTTATCGGCGGATCATGAACGCATGCACCGTCGATCGCTTTTCAGACTTCTCGCACTCTCCACAAATGCCTTGCATTGCATGATGATACCAACATACCGTACCTGGCGTACCTCCCGTGGATGCCGGAGCGTGGAAATAAGTTGCCGCGCGCGTGTGGGTGGTGAACACACGTGGAGCTGTGGAGGTGCACGAGAGCCGGCGGAAGAATACGTCCTAGTTTGAATAGAGTCTAATCATGTTGAGCAGTTGAGCCAATCAAGCGGCACAGATGCCCTGCTCCGACTGCTGTTACTAACGGCGAACGTTTGTATGGTGCCTAGAAGCTGAAGTGTATCGGCCAATCCTTGGCGCACTATCGACCTCTGATGCTACAGTGTTTCATCTGCTCGTACTGTCGAAGCGACGCCGAGGGAAGCAGGATTGCAGGCTGCAGAGAATGGCCGACGGGACGGGGGCTGGCCTGTGGCAGATGGCGTGCGCTCGGTGATAGCAGGTCGAGGTGGATGAGACGGAGGCGGAGACGGAGACGTGGACGTGGACGTGGACGTGTAGTATACTCAGTATAGTAAGGCGTCTAGACGGGAGTCGCGTGCTGTCACAATGGTGAATCGTGGAAGGGGGATGATCCCGTGGTGCTTGGCGGGCTCAGCTTACAGTAGTGCAGTGGTTGAGTGGGTCATCTCATCCGAGCTCATCTCTTCATCAGGTTTGCGGGTGCCAAGCATTGCGTCCATTGCATCCATTCCACGCTGCGCTGCTGTTTTACCCCCTCTTGCCTCTTGCCTCTTGTTTTACCTCTTGCCTCTTTTTTTTCTTTCTGTCTCTTGCCTCTTGCCTCTTGCCTCTTGCCTCTTGCCAGTCCGTACCTTCCCGTCTTCCACTCCTTCAGACGCTGGCCACCTGGAACCTGCCGTACCGTACCGTACCCAACTCACCTGACCTCTCAGTCGTTTCCCACCACAGCTGGACTCCTGGACTCCTGGACTCCTGGACTCCTGGAGGCGCACGGAGCTGCCCGCCGTGTCTGGAAGCGAAGAGAAACGCGCAGCACCCACCTTACCTTAGGTACCTGTACCTGTACCTGTACCTGTACCTGACCTTACCTTACCCACCTTACCTAACCGGACCTACCTACTTATACCGTCCACGCCCACGACCACGACCACGACCACGACCGGCTCGAGTGCGACACCCCACTACCAGATTCGTGCTGGCACGAACGAGACCATTCCCTTCCATTCGAATTCATTCTGGACGCATGCCGCCTCTCCAGGCACAACAGCTTTCGCACTAGAGTCCCTCCTCTTCAGGAGTCTGTCGCTACCTCGCACCTTTTGTACCATTCACTAAGATTTCTCGACATTACTTGACATCATCACCGGGCATCATCACCATCATCATGACTTCCTCCGTACGGCTGCTGCTGTTTTGTGTCGTGCCGTCCGCTCTGGCTAGCGGAGGTGGCCCTTCCGAGGCGGAGAAGGCGGCGAGCATCCTCAACAACAAGATGATCAAGTACACCGGCTGGACTTGGGCATGTATCATCGCTACTTTGCTCGTTTACCGCTGGACCCTCAGCTTATTGCAGCATGTGAGGCAACTGGCAAACCTCAACCATGGCACTTCAAGCGACGGGCGACAGCGTTACTTCTCGACTCCAGACGAGACGTGGGCCCGAATCAAGCGACACTTCATTGTCGCTCCTCTCTTCACCCGTAGGCACAACCGCGAATTCCGGTTATCAGCTGCTATGAACGTCGGTATTTTACCGGGCCGCATGCAGTCTTTCTGGTTGCTGGGCTACTTCGCACTCAATATTGTCTTCACTGTATGGAAGATTGACTGGTCAAATTCCGAGGCCTTCATGGACGAGGGCCTCAGTCGTACCGGAGTGCTCGCAGTGCTCAACATGATACCGCTCTTTCTGCTTGCAGGGCGTAACAATCCCATGGTCTGGCTCATGGACATTTCTTTCGACGACTTCAACCTCCTTCACAGGTGGATTGGCCGCATCGTGGTGTTCGAGGCTGTTGCTCACGCCGCTTTCTGGTTTGTAAAGAAGGTTCAGACTTTGGGAATGGAAAAGGCATCCATTGCCATAGGCAAGGCCATGGCGAGCAGTCAATTCATCCTGAGTGGTACGATTGCTTTTGCTGCATTCTGCGCCATTCTCCTCCAGTCCCCATCCATCATCCGCCATGCATTTTACGAGACTTTCTTGCACCTGCACATAGCTCTTGTGATCACTGCCGTGGCGACGGTTTGGATCCATCTCAACGACAGGCCCGCACAGGTCTTGGTGCTTGGGGCACTTATTTGCTGGATCTTCGAGCGCTTCGCGAGAGTTTACCTCCTCGTGCGAAACAACCTCAGCCGGAAAGGCTGCACAAAAGCCGAAATCGAGGCTTTGCCTGGCGATGCAATGCGAGTCACACTCCGGGTGGCGAAGTCTTGGAATTTCAGACCCGGACAGCACATCTACCTCTACATGCCAAGCATCGGTATGTGGACTAGCCATCCATTCTCCGTGGCCTGGAGCGACGAGAGCCACGATCACGCCACCGAGAAAGCACTGCCGACGTCGAGACAGGACATGTTTGCGACCAGGACAAGTTCTGTGTCCCTGGTGATTCGTCGACGCACTGGGTTCACCGATTCTCTCTACAAGAAAGCTGAGGCTGTTGGGACGGGCCCGCTAGTGACCACCGCATATGTTGAGGGGCCATATGGGAGCCAGAGCTTCCAATCGTACGGCACGGTCATGCTGTTTGCGGCAGGAATTGGTATCACCCACCAAGTACCCCACGTCCGCGACCTGGTGGCCGCCTACGCGAATGGTACTGCCGCGACTCGTAGAGTTGTTCTCGTCTGGGTCATCCAGTCTCCCGAGCACCTCGAATGGATTCGACCATGGATGACACAGATCTTGGCCATGGATAAGCGTCGCGATATCCTGAAAATCCTCCTCTTCGTCACTCGACCTCGCAGCACCAAGGAGATCCATTCTCCCAGCGCCAGCGTCCAGATGTACCCTGGAAAACCAGACTGCGCTGCTCTCATCTCCAAGGAGCAAGAGACGCAGATTGGTGCCATGGCCATTAGCGTCTGTGGCACTGGCGGCATGAGTGATGACGTGAGGAAAGGCATGAGGGATCGTTGCGAGCATACCGAGATCGATTTCTTCGAAGAAGCCTTTACGTGGTGATCAGGATCATAACGCAATAGACGGAGGCTCCAGCGCCTGCAACACATAGAGACGTGAGCCACGACAATGTCATTCGAGTGCTAAATCAAGCGCTCCGCGCAGCGGTTGCGCCTACGATTCTTGTGTATTATTCTCCGATGGACATTTCGAGGGGTTTGAGCTACATGTAGTCATCAACAGTAGATCCTCCAGCGGCGCATCACACCAAGTCGTTTCCCACCTCCCTCTTGATCTCCATTGCTTTTCGTTCATGCCCTGCTTGGTATTCAGGGAACGTCATGCAAGCTGCATGTCTTTACACTTCAACGCATATATATCAGCAACATTACAGTCCAGCAATATTACAGTCCAGCAAAACTGACTCCCTTTGCCGCGTTCAAGTAGTTTATTACAGGTAATGTATATACAGGTACATGTGTCAATGCAAATTCAATCGACATTTCTCCGATCTGACGAAGGGTTGGTTCAGGACGCACGTGACAGCGGGAGCTTTGTGACTAAGCCGACTACACTACATACCGTCGTACCTACCTCCTACCTTACCTTAAGAGGTAGGAACCTTACTTCACAATTGCCCAATAGGTACCTACATGTATTGATTCCCTTCTCCATTTCAACAACCACAGCTTGTAGCTGCGAATAAGAAGAAAGAGCCATGGGCTTACCAACCGTCCCTCCACAACCACCCTCACCAACCTCCGCCCTACAATCCCTCCTCTCCAAGCCCACTTTGTCGCAACAAACTTCTTCTTCTTCCCCCACCGAATCCCATCACCACCATCACCACTACTACAACCTCGCCCTCCAAATCGCACACAACCTCCACTATCAACACCTATGGACCGACATCTACCTCCACCACAACACACCTTCATTACGCGAAAAAAATTGTCGTCCCATATTGTCTGGTCTACCGCCTCGAAGAATTTATGTTCATCCTGATGAGCAAATCGCATTGTTGCAGGAGAAAAAGAAGAAGGAGCAGAAAGATGAGGAGGGGAAGAATGGTGGAGGTGGTGATGGTGGGATGATGCCTGAGATTGCGAGGGAGCGGGAGTGGGTTTTACCGAGTCAGGTGAGAGAGAAGTGGAGTTTACGCAGATTGGGAGAGGTGTTTGATTCGATTGAGAGGGTGCCGTCGTCGTCGTCGAGGGTTGGGTCTCGTGATGATGAGGAGGAGGGGGAGGCTGTGTTGTTATTTGGGAGGTTGAGGAATGAGGATGATGGGGACGAGGGGGGGGAAGAAGAAAAAGTAAGAGAACAAGAAGACGGCAAAGAAGGTGTTGTTGTGAACCAGTGGCGAGAGAATTCACCAAAGAGGTTATTGCTCGCGACACTGGATGACGATAGCACGGTTGTGTACTACATTGTGCACGATGGGATTGTGAAGCCCCGGCAGAATTGAGGTGTGAGGTGTGAGGTGTGTGGTGCAAGTGAAGCATGTCCCGCAGCACATCACTCACACACCCGCCCACAATCTTGTCGATGATGGGATCGTCCATCCATCTTCTCTTGATGTTGACCGACCAGAGTTGTGCTTACGAACAGACATCTTGTTTGTCCCGTGGTGGTAGACTCGACGATACCAGCTGGGTACTGGAGATTTCTGCCATCTTTCAGAGACGATTACATATCGTTGGACAAGATGACTCTTGGCAACTATGTAGGTGTATGCGCCGTGATCTACCTAACGCTGGAAGAGGTAAGGCTCAGTAAAACCAGGGGACATCCATACAGTACGCGATGCAGGTCTTGCCTCAATCTCATCCACACCCGGCAGGCCGCCTGCCAAGACACGAGACCAATACGTGTAGGTATGGGTTTGATGATGCACGGTTCAAGGCTCAGTGTACACATTGCACTGCTACCTTGCCGTTCGTGTCATGTCGTGGCTTTCCCTAAAGCGGTCGGAGAGAGCTATATATATACATGGTCTCTTGTTTCCCACTCGAGGACTCTATCATGAAAGCTTCACCTCACAATGAGGTGGTTCCAGCAAGCAGTGAAAATCCAAAAACTCCACGTGTGATGGCGACCTTCTCCACCCATGGAGAACAAGGCCAATATCACCCCAGAAATACTACATCTTTGTACAAATCTTCGCTAAATGGCTTATTTACAGTCCATATTCCCATTTTGATCGCCAGGCATGCCATCACTATGTGAGAGGCCAGTAGCAGGCATGGTAGCAATGTCGCCAAAGCCGGCCAAGCTACTAGACCAGTCCATGTTGCCATTGCTGAGGAGATTGTTGTCATTTCCCACAATGGGTGGCTCCATATTAAAGGGCATGAACCACGCGGTCGATGGATCGCCCCAGAATCCACTCGGGCTGTTGTTCTGTTGGCTACCGCTGTGGGCGAATGTATTGAAGTCGAAATCGTCGAAATTCACGTTCCCATTGCTTCCGTTGCCAAGGACAGACTGGCCACCACCAGGGTTGCCATACGAGTTGAGCACCATTTGTCGATCCATTTGAGACATGAATTGCTGCGGGGGTGTCATGATCAACGGGTTGTGTGGCGGCTGAAATCCTGGTGGAAACGCAATCGAGTGCTGCGCGAAGCCCGCGTTGATATTCGCAGCAAGATCGTGAGTCACTTGCTGTTGTTGAATGGACTGCGGGTGTCCATTTTGCTCCGCAGACGTTGTCTGTGGCTGCACCTGCGGTTGCTGTGTCGTCCGCTGGCTGCTGGCCGTTTGCGAGTTCTGCTTACTGCCTTCCGACACAGACTTCCGCGTCTTCTTCACCGCTCGTTTCGCGCTTTGCTGCTGTGCGGCCAAATGCGCGGCGCGACTCGGAGGACTGAGCTTGCTGAAGAACTGCTCCACGGTCTGCAGGTCACTTTTCTGACCGAGAACGGCATCGGCGCCAGGCTCCTTCTTCACGCCAGCGCTCGGTTCTTCGTAGTCAGTACCGCTGACGCCGTGGGGATATCTGTCGAACCAGTCACCATACTGAAAGATGGCTTGTTCGCCATCTCTGCCCGCAGTGACACCAAACCGTGCGGCATCCGCATGTCGCCGATACAGATCTCGTAAGTTTTCCGTGACGAAATGGAACATGCCCCAGTACTTCTTCATCTTGGTGAGATACTTGACGTTCCATGCCAAGTTTTGTTTGCTCGAAGCCTCGAGAGCAGCATTCTTGGAGAATGCGCCTTGAATGTGCACTGTACTACTGAAGAATGCACAGTAACCAGCAAAGGGTGCCACTACGAGGTGGTCCGATGCCTCGTGAATGAGCACCGAGATTTGGTTAGCAGCGTCAAGAGCGGTGCGTGTGGCTTCGGAAATAAAGTCTTCGGGCATATCCTTGGGCAGAGCTGGCAATGAGCCCGAAGCGGGCAGCGCGAATCGGTTCATAAAGAGCAGGATCTGGTTATACACAATATGCAGGAAGAGGAACTGGTTCGCAATCTTCTCCGAGGCGTGATTCTGAAGGTTCTCAGCGCTATATTGCAAGGATTCGGGCAAGCCCTTCTTCCACTCTTCTGTTGCGCGTCGAATACCTTGGAATTTGGAGCCATCGTGCCACATGGGATGTTGATCACGTTCACGGCCGCCAAGGTTCAGATAGGCAATGAGCCGACCCCAGATAGACACGAGTCGAACCAGGTAAGCTGCCACGCCCATGTTATCTCGTGCATTGGACATCTGACCCGTCCCTGGTTCAACAGGGTGTGGCACGTTGCCTTCCAGGTCTTCCGTTGGTCCGTTGATCTCCATGTAGTAATACTGTTCTTTGATAGGCAGCTGTGCTCGAATGTACTGCTCGCCCACAAAAATCGGCCGATCAGTCCCGCTGGAGTTGAAGCGGTCCATCAGGAAACAGGACCACATGGTCCGCCGGCGTATCTCGCGATCTGTGAATGTGAGCTCGTTTTCGCCAGGCTGCGAGCGATACTTGGGATCGTGATCCAGATCTCGATGTAACTGCAGCGCATATGCCATGCGTTGTGCCATCCCCCCAAACATCCAGCTACGGCCACCTTGGCACGTTCCGAACTCGTGTAGACCGAGGATGAGATAGACAATCAAAATAGTGATGTTCGGAGTATCAAAGCGCCTCAACGCGATTTCCCGTGATGCTGTTGCCCAATTGTCGCCTCTCAGGAACGCCGGCTCCGTGCGAACAGAAGGATGGTTGGAGAAACGTGCTGACATGGCGCACACTGCGAGCATGAGCACGGGCGGTACTTGGTCCTGAGCGAGTTTTCGCATGAAGCTCGGTTTGTGAAGGAGATGATAGCTCTGTCCATAGACATAGTCAAAGAAGACCTCGGCTAAGTGTTGTTGCAACTCCTTGCTCGGCAGCTTGTCGAGCCCTTCACGGAGAAGATTATGCTCGTCTGCATCGTTTGCGGCCTGGGCTTCGTTGGCGGATGCGTGGGCCGGATCCTTCTTGCTGGCAGACGTCTGGCCTTTGGCTTCCGCCCACTCATCGAGTTCTTGACTGAAGGCCTCTGTAGCTCCTCTTTTCTTGGAGCCAGGAGCTTTGGGCGGAGCAGGAGGCAAAGGCGGTTTGACCACTGCGCGACCCGTGCTGGTAATGATGCTTTGGTCATCTTTGGGGATGATCTTGATCACGCGGTCTTCCATTCGCTTGAGACGCTTGTCCAGCATGGCCATGTAGTCGGTGCGTGGTGCCGCCTTTCGGGTCGTGACCTTGTACACACATGGGATTCGCGATCGCAGACAATGCTTACATGCTGGTTTCTCGCCCGAGCAGCGTATTTTCTTCCTTCTGCAAGCAATACAAGCCAGTGGCAATCGTTTGCGTTCCTTGCCCGCTTTGGTCTTGAGCTCACTCCATGCCGGAGGATAGCCCCCGAGAGCCGCCTCGTCCGCTGTGCCTGCACCGCCCGCAGCCTGGTTCGCTGCATCATTGCCCTCGCTTCCCAGATGGTGATTGTCCATTGATGTCTCGGGGGCGGAAGTGGATTGCGCCTTTGCATCTGGGCTTGTGATATCTGAGCCACCACCCAAGCTGTTGTTTCTCGCCAATGCTCCAAAGCCATTGCTGCCGAAACTCAGTCGATGGTGGTGCCCATTCATTGGCGACTGGCCATCCTGCATGCTCTGTTGCATAGGCGGCGAGGGCATCATTGCATCGAGGGCAGAGTAGGTCTGGACAGCACCGGTGGAGCCTGGGGTGTAACCATTGCCGTTGCCGTTCAGCAGCGGCTGTGTAGTCATGTCGAAATCATACTCGCTGCCCGGCTGGCTGCCACCGTAGGCTGAATTCGGAATATTGATGTAGTCCGAAGTCATGGTCGATCGCTGGCGAGAGCCTCGTCGTGCTGCTCACATTGGCAATGTGGGTCGCGTCACCGCACGGGCCGACCATCGAAGGTGGTGTGTGGTGGGTGAGTGCCGACTGGTGGAGGTGTGATGCGAGCAACGAGCAACGAGCAACGAGCAACGAGCAGCGAGCAGCGAGCAACGGAGGGAATGTTGATGAGTAGGTGGGTAGGTAGCTCTGCTTGATGGCGCGGCCTCTTTGCACGCGGGCAGCCAATTCCGAGGGACAGGTGCAGCTGGGGTGCAGACGGAGGCTGAGACGAAGCTTTGTGACGTCGGGGTCGGGGTCGGGGGTGGACGGGAGACAGCAGAATGGGCGTCCCCAGGCAATTGAAAAAGGATGAAGCGAAGCTGCTGAAGCTGACGGGAGCTGTGCAATCAGGTCATCAAGCGGTAAGCAGGACGGGACGTCTCCGGCGGGGTGTTGGCGCCAAGAGTATAAGGGAAAGAGACGGGACGGGCGTGGCGCAGGCCCTGCGTGACGGAGGCGGGCGTAGTGTGGACGATGGTGGTGGTGGTGGTAGTGGTGGTGGTAGTGGTGGTGGTGGCGGAAGAACGTAGGTAGTGGTCGCGGGGCAGTGGCAATGGTGGTGTGGAGCGGGGAGGGAGAGGAGAGGAGTGGCGGCGGCGGCGGCGGCGGCGGCGGCGGCGGTGGGCGGTAGGCGGTGGGCGAGAGCTGTACAGTGTAGGACTGAGTGTACTTACCTCCTAGGCTGTAGTGTAGGTCACCGAGGTCCGACAGCTTTTTGGTTAAGCACTTAGCACGGCGTGCAATAGGGCGGTGATGTTTGTTTAATACCTGAGTTAATACCTACATGTACCTACGGTAGGGTATGTAGACAAGGAAGCGCAGGCGGACGCATGGAGACAAGGGCAGGGGAGGGCAGGGAGGGTGCGCGTGCGTGCAGGCAGTCAGGCATTCAGGCATTCGGGCAGGTAAGGTATAGTGGTATACGTACAGTAACAGACTAACAGCGGTATACTACGAGGGGACATGTCTACAGGTGACACTGGGCAGTGGACAGGAGGTATATGGAGTGTAAGGTAGTGGAGGGTAAGGGACATGTACCAGGTCTGTACTGTACTGTAATGTACTGTACTGTCCAGTCCCACAGTCCCAGTATATTGATTAATCCTGCTCGGGTACATACATACCTGACATGCAAACCTACCTACCTTACCTTACTCACCTACATGTACCTACCCGGACGGTATGTAACCTACCTGGTACCGACCGACCGACCGACCCTTATCGTGGATTCGTGGGACTGTGCGACTGAAACGGGCAACACAAAACCGCCGACTGTGAACTTGAAGCAGCAAAGCCTTGGCGGGCTGTGCAGAGACCCTCAGCCCTAGCTAAGTGTAGGCTCACTACGACTTATCTGCGAGCCTGTCGGCCGACTTGGTAGCAGTAGACCGAGTAGAGGTACATATATGTAGGTACCTTATGTACCTGAAGGCTGAGTACCTGGTATCATATATGTTGATTATGTTATGCTATTGTGCTATTCTGCCACCCCTTGCGCATCGTCAAGTGTCATAGTCATCATGATAAGCACCATGTGTGAAATGGTATATACATGTAATCATAGCATAAGGTAACCATGGCCCATACCTGAGGTGATCATTACTCATCATCAATGGAAGCTATGTCTCCTGGCTTGAACAGGCATTGCCCGAAGGCGACACGAGTCCCAATTCATCATCCATCGTTGATTCGCGCCCCTACTCCTATCTGTAACTGCATGTGCCCGTCTCAGCACTACCAGGTGCAGCACGTGAGCTGAGGCCGTCGTCGCCGCTGGCCCGCTGCTGCTTGCTTGCTTGCTTGCTACGCTAACTACTGTACTACAACCGACCTATGTACTAGCCTACTACCTCCCGCCCCCCGCGCCCCCCGATGGATCCTGCAAGTTGCAACAACAGGCTGATCCCAGGACAGACAGACACGCGCCGAGATCGTGCAAAGCCTTCTCGTTCTTGGGCGCCCCAGACTTGCTCCCTTCCCCCCACCCCCCC